ATTCCACGTTGCTATCACTTTGAGAAAAGTGTTTAAAAAAAAGAAAACCAAAAATTTATGTAAAATTCTGACCATTGATTAAGTTGACACTGGTTTACACGATGCACTTAAATATTACCTGGTTTAGAACTGCTTGTTATTCAGTTAAGACAGCGAGCTTCCATAAGAATAGAAGTCAGCAATGTCCTCCAATTTCGTGCTCCACTGCCTGCATTATTTATATAAGCTGTTATTGTCTTTGGTAAGATATTTTTATGCATTTGCTAGCATTCTAAGCACATTCGTGTCTGGCATTCTACTATGAAACTGTGCAAATACTGGCGTGCGTTCTGATAAGAATAAGGCATAGAGTCATCGCTAAAAATGAAAAATTTATTCGGTAAAGGTGACTCTTTTTAGTAAACGACGGAAGATTTGATGCCATACATAAACATTCGTGTTGATTTAAGTATTAATAACAAAGCTTGTTAAGTTAAGGCTTACTTTTCAGAGAAAAAAATACAACACATGAAGAAGTAAGCAAAGCTTTGAAAACGCGTCAGTCCGCGGTGCAATTTAGAACATTATAGTCTGCGGCAGCCCGGGAAGATCTGTTATTCGGAGTCTGATATCTAGCACAAAAGAAAGCATCAGATACCCCAATGGCCTATGGATTTGTATTGTCGGGAACATAAAAATGCCACACCTTCAGTTCAAGTTATCTCAATGCACAAATCTAATACTATTTTGAAGTCATTAAGAAAACGGCTTGGATTAGAGGTAAATAGATCAGTCTTTCATTGGAATAGTATTACATTTTCATTGGAAACAATGCAAACAAATGGCTATTAAAACTTCTCGAAGGTAAAATTCGATAATGTCATATGTGTATTGTCATAATGTTACAAGAATCTTGTGCAAAATTTATCCATATTCTGTAAAACAGTTCTCGATTATTTTCTTTCATTCTCTAAAACAAGTTGTGAACAAATACTCATTACTTACTTTCAATGTTCTATGAAAGTAATTCATATAGATTCTTCTCTGGGTAGAGTCTCTCGGACTATCTTCCATTCAACTTTCAATATAGTTCTCTTTATAAAACTATCAAGATCTAGCGTGAATCGCCTATTTAGTGGCCTTGTCTCACTCTTGGTATGTACTATTAGCAGGTAATGAAGAAAAGGGAGAGACGGTTTCAAGTTTTGATCTCACATTCACCCTCTGCTTGAGAAATAACTCTTCAATAACGTCAGCTCACTTTTCGTCATTGGTTTATCATGGGCTTTTTATACACATTCACAAAAGGAAAGGCTATGTTCTTTTTTAAAGGAACAAAGTATTTGCAATACTTCTTGAAAAAATTTTATCCCTAGGAACAAAGAAAGCATTATTTGTCTTGGCTTTGCCTGGCCCTGGACGTCGAGCCACTTCCTAATAAATAACATTTGATGATGGCAACTTAAATCTTGAGAAGAATATCAAATTTTTCTTTTGAAACGGTCTATGTCAACCAATTTTAATTAAAACGGTTAGATTTACTGGGAAAAACTTATTTCAATGTAATGAACACAAAAAAATCCAGCTTTGTTAGTTTCAATTTAATTAAGTAAGGTCAATATTAGAAAGTATTAAAACAAATCCCAGTTTTCTGTCTGTTCTGCTTCAAAAATACGGCGAACGTGTCTTTGCCTAAAAATAATTTGCGCTCATGTAAATCAAAAAAATTTTAGCTAGATTTTGGGACACAAGGTTATCACTTTCTATGTAACCTGTTGTAGGTTTCCGGATTATGCTGACCAACCAGACAATAATAATAATATTCAGCACAAAATCTGATTGTTCCAATATTTTTCTTAGAACTTCAAACCTTCAAACACTATTGAAGAAGTCTGTTAAGGAAGCATTAGCAGAAGTTTACGACAGCCTGGACAGAAAATGTGGAAAAAATGTATTCAAGCATATGAAGAACAGAATGGAGTTTCCTTTCCAAGGAAAAAACAAGCAGAAGATGAAAGGAGTTTTCGGCTCCTTCAGATTTATTGAAAGCAAAAACCGCCACCCATACCTAGTAAAGAGACGATATGACTTTAGGTATAGCGGGCGATTTGATAATTTTGAACCACGTATGACAAACAGTTAGAGCAACAGTCTGTTGACGGGTGCATTGGAGCCCAGAGAACAAAACAGCTCGATCTCACGACCTTCGATTCACTCACACATGTCTACTATGACGACAATGTAAAAAAATATGCTGATGTTTAGCTAGTTGACAAATGTTTCGCATACAGTTCGATAGATACAAGGTCGTCATCAGACAAGCTAACATGTGGATCTGGCGATCACGAAAACCAAAATATGTCAAAATGCACCAGTACAACAGAAAACCTTTGTAGGGACAAGCCTTGATGGAACATTTTACGAAGATTTTTCAGCAATGTATTAAAGACTCCTGCGAGAGGAACGGCAAGGAGCAGTTTAGATCACACAACCTCTTTTTCTGACAAACACAACAGTACTTTACTAACAATCTAGCATCATCAAACAAGCAGGACAATGAGACCTATGAAAAGTGGACAAATAAGTCACAAAATTGATTAAAATTCTAAGAAAAAATGGAAAAGATGCTAGGTGAGCATGCGCCCAAATTTTTATAGATTTGCATGCTTTTTTATGATTTAAGAAGCTTAAGTCTCTCTGTGGATAACTACTCTAAATTAGATTCGAATTAAAAAAATGCAGATGTTGAAATAATGAAATCTATTCGGGCACGCATAGAACTAAAGAAAAAATAAGCGTGTTTAAGGAAATCTGGCAAATTGTCAGAACGCTGGACAAAGCTATGTTACGAATTTGTTGGCTTAATTAGTTTTTAGATCTGATCTTGCCATGCTATCAACAAAAACGCATAGAAACAGGAATTTAGAAAAATAATTATGACCGTAACAAAATGCTTGGGCAATTAAGACACATTTAAAGTATCTCGTGAGGAAAAGGCTGCTATGGGTTAACTGCTTTGAAACGACAGTAATTAATGTAGCTAAGCAAAGCTAAAGGAAGATTATTTTATAAATATTCAAGAACTATAAAACATGAAGTTGGGGAAAAGAGAACACATTGCCTGAAATCCGAGAGTAACGAATTTGTAACTGGTCACCATTATATTGTCATGTTCATCTCAAAAACCTAAGCTGATGCACGTAAACGTAAATTATCAACAACCTTACGAGTGTTTGGGAGGTATGTGAACCTTAAAGCAATTGGGAATAAATACTCTATTACAGAGTAATGATTTTCATAGTTATTGCTTGCTGGAAACTCACGAGAAGCTATTGACGTGGCCAAATTTGCTGAAGAAGCACATTGATGTCAAGCCTTTTCACAGCTTCGTTTCCATTTTGGAGGAATAATGTATAGAAAAATACCGTGTATTGCCAACTGAGCAGCAGTACATACTATTATCGTTTATGTCCATTTGAAATGTCCAATATGCAAAATACATTTTGAACAATAGAGCCCGAAATGAACAGCGATGTGGGCATAAATTATGAAGGTAATATTAATTAAAACTTGTATAAATTTTTTCGTTTTTTCTGTTTCAAGAATCTCTGTTCAATGAGCTTGCAATAGAGTAAGAACTAAGGCAGTTTTTGGAGCACATTGCATCTTAAAATTTTCGATTGAAAAATTAACAAGGATAAGCCAAATAAATGGCGTGTTTTCATTATTATCAAGTATGCACTCACAGTTATAATATTTTTTGTGCAATTATTTGCTGTGACATTTATATTGGAAAAAGTGATATGCACAATAATTTTTATGCTAAACAAACTTAAAAGTGTGGAAGAATTAATTTGAAGAAATGACGTCGCCGACAAAAAGATTTGATAGCATTTTTATACTGATGTGTGTTGAAAGTCATGGTGGCTGATAAGACTGTAAATAATTTTTCACCAAAATTTATTTTGCCCCAACCAAAATTTTGCAATTAATTTACTCGATTTACTGAAAAGTATAAACATTAAACTAATATGCATTTGTAAACAATAAGATGTAAACAATGTTTTCGGTTCTTAATAAACTTGATATCTGTGTGGTTGAGGCCACCAGAGCCTATCAACTAGGACAATTAGCAAAACTTTTAGATAAAGGATCATTTGAATAGAAGTTTTAGTGAATTTGTAAAATTTTTTCTTAAATAGCTAAGAATATAAAAAATTTAATATTCACAAAACAAAGTTGATGATGTATCACACATTATCAGTCTATTATGCTTCATTTTGCTAAATTTACATACCTAACGGGGGTTTGAGTTCTGAAATTCTGGTACATTAGTATCTACATGAATTTCAACAATATGAATGCCAGGTATCATTGCCGAGCTAGAGTTCTTGCTCTTCACCTTCTCAGGTCCTGCAGAAATTAATACATTGCCTGATAATATACAGCCCCTTTCTTCTGCTACATGAAAAAGTAAACATGTTAATGTTCTATGAATCTGTTAATAGAGAGACTAATAAAGCAAAAGCATGAAGTCTAGGGTCTGTCGATGTAGCAGAAAGGTGACAGTTGCAAACTGTTAGACAGACTCAATATGATCTACAGTCAACAATGGAATACAATCAATGATGCTCTGATAGCCCCTGATGTACACGGTGCAGAGTAATATAGCAATATGACGAGACCTTGGTCTGACATTTAAACAAATGAGCTACAAGCTGTTCTGGATATACTGATCAATATATTTTCAATCATTCCAGTTATTTTTAACATAGGTTTAAAAAATATTTAACCTAGACAAAAACTTTACTAGCCTGGAAATCAATGCTGTTTCAGGCCATACAGGAATGAAAATATGTACACATAAACAGGCAAAAATTTCATGCAGAATTGGGAACTAAAACTATATGTGATGAGAATATATTTCAACAGGGTCTAAAATGTTTACTGTTTAAGAGGTTGGTAACTCATGATAAAGCATTGTTGTTAACCGCACTTCTTAGAAAAACAAAGCGGGTGCCAGGTGTGAGCTTATGATTGCGGCCTCTCTGAGGATGCCTGCTTTTTCAGAACTTTTTTTTTGCAATCACAACAAAATGTTGCAAATTGACCACTAACCATTTGGCTTGACATACTCTTGGCACTGTCCCAATTAAACATTTTGGTCTTTGTCTCTGCATAAAATGAGCAACTAGTGTCCTCCATCTGAGATTTTCACTTTGAAGTTTTGTTTAATAGTTTTTTTTAGCAACATGTTTCCTGTCAATTTTATCACCTGAAAGAGTTTGAGAATATATTCATTAAAATTGCAGTCAGTCAAGAGGAACACAATGAACATTTTTAAAACAATGTGGCTTTGGAGTTGAGCTGGTTTAGGCAGATATATTCTTACTTAGCAACAAAAACCTAAAACAAAGAAATTTTTCACTGATTTATACTTATAAAATGTGTTAAATTTCAAGTGCATGAATTTATTTTTACCCTAAAATTGCAAGGTTGATGAGTAGCATTTTTTGAAAGAGATTGAAACTTCTACATGTTGCTTCAATATAAAATGATAATTAGCACGAATTTCATGAGAAGGTTGTTTTGGGGGTTTTAAAAACAATGAGTGATCAGTGACAAAGCATAAGAACAGTGAATTACAATGTTGCAGATAGTCTGTCTTCCAATAAACACACCATAGCACTCAGTCAGGATTTGTTAGTCCATTGTGCCATTGTGATACCCAGCATAAAATTTTGCAAAAAGGGTAGTCTGATACCTGAAAAGATATGATATGCGAACCCAACTGAAAATTGCTCCCTTTGGCTATTTTCAGACTGGGTTCCTTGCCTGAAGTCCTAACACCATATTAAAGTAGATACAATAGCATGAAACTTTCAAAAAGGGCAGTTTGATACTACTGAAAATTTCCTCTTTTTTCTATTTTAGACGGGGTACTTTGCTCCCAGAACCTTTAAAGACGGTGTTACATCTCAGTTGTACTTTAGTACTACATGCTGCACAATACTTTGTGATATAGACAGTTTGGTACAACTGAAAAAGATAGGATATAGAACCTAACTAGACATTGCCCTATTTCAGTCATACTTGCTACAACAGCAAGAAAATTTGCAAAAAGGACATGTTTGATGCGCTGAAAAGATTGGGTATGGACTCTGACTTAAAATTGGCCCTCTTGGCTATTTTAACTGTGTAATCCAATAAGCAAACTCCATTCTGCTTAGTGTACTAAATGCCAAGTACTTCGCCTGTTTGCAAATTTATGATGTCAGGGATAACATGCCCTTTGTCACAGTTGAAAACCTGGAAATGGGATATTCAACCTAAATTTTTAGAAGGTTCATAAGAAAAAAATCACCTCAACAGAATCATTGAAATCAGCAATTTTGTTTATAAAAGTGCTGCCTTTCTCTAAACTTGTCAAATTTCATTTCATAGGCACTTTAAAAGGTCACATGCAACAAATTGCATAATTGCAGCCTATATATTAATGTAGCAACATAAAGAGCCAGGCGCAATCAGAGATATAGCAAGCTATGAAATAATAGCAAGGGAATGTCAACTGATGGAATGTTTGCTCAAGTGAAAAGAAGTATGCATGAGACTTAGAGACTCTACATCTACAGTTGGTCTATTGCCGTCTGTTTGAGGTTTCAGTGGTTTTCTATATTCAACTGTCCGCAGAGTCACTGGAGTCAATTATTAAACCAAATTGCAAATTTTGCTTGCTAGTTTACTATTATTTCATAGCTTGCTATATCTGATTGGCCTGGCTCTTTATGTTGCTACATAACTATATAGGCTGCAATTATGCAATTGTTTGCATGTGACCTTTTAAAGTGCCTATGAAATGAAATTTGACAAGTTTAGAGAAAGGCACACTTTTTATAAACAAAATTTGCTGATTTCAATGATTTCTGTTGAGGTGATTTTTTTCTTATGGAACCTTCTAAAAATTTAGGTTGAATATCCCATTTCCAGGTTTTCGACTGTGACAAAGGGCATGTTATCCCTGACATCATAAAATTTGCAAACAGGGAAGTACTTGGCATTTAGTACACTAAGCAGAATGGAGTTTGCTATTGGATTTACACAGTTAAAATAGCCAAGAGGGCCAATTTTAAGTCAGAGTCCATACCCAATCTTTTCAGCGCATCAAAATGTCCTTTTTTGCAAATTTTCTTGCTGTTGTAGCAAAGTATGATTGAAATAGGGGCAATTGTTAGTTAGGGTCTATATCCTATCTTTTTCAGTGTACCAAACTGTCCTATATCACAAAGTATTGTGATGTAGTGCTAAAGTACAACTGAGATGTAACACCGTCTTTAAAGGTTCTGGAGCAAAGTACCCCAGTCTAAAAATAGAAAAAGAGGGAAATTTTCAGTAGTATCAAACTGCCCCTTTTTGGAAAGTTTCATGCTATTGTATCTACTTTAATAATGGTGTTAGGGGCTTCAGGCAAGGAACCCCAGTCTGAAAATAGCCAAAGGGAGCAATTTTCAGTTGGGTTCCATATCATATCTTTTCAGGGTATCAGACTACCCCTTTTTGCAAAATTTTATGCTGGTATCACAATTGGCACAATTGTTTGACTAACAATCCTGACTGAGTGGTATGGTGTGTTTATTGTGAAGACAGCACTATCTGCAAACCTTGTAATGTCACTGATTCTTATGCTTTGTCACTATCACTCATTGTTTTTAAAACCCCCAAAACAAACCTTCTCATGAAAATTTCGTGCTAATTATCATTTTATATTGAAGCAACATGTAGAAGTTTCAATCTCTTTCAAAAAATGCTACTCATCAACCTTGCAATTTAGGGTAAAAATAATTCATGCACTTGAAATTTAACACATTTTATAAGTATAAATTCAGTGAAAAGTTTCTTTGTTTTAGGGTTTTTGTTGCTAAGTAAGAATAATCTGCCTAAAAAACCAGCTCAACTCCAAAGCCCACATTGTTTTTAAAAATGTTCATTGTGTTCCTCTTGACTGACTTGCAATTTTTAATGAATATATTCTCAAACTCTTTCAGGGTGATAAAATTGACAAGGAACACATGTTGCTAAAAAAACTATTAAACAAAACCTTCAAAGTGAAAATCTCAGATGGAAGGACACTAGTTGGCTCATTTTTATGCACAGACAAAGACCAAAATGTTATATTGGGACAGTGCCAAGAGTATGTCAAGCCAAATGGTTAGTGGTCAATTTGCAACATTTTGTTGTGATTGCAAAAAAAAAGTTCTGAAAAGCAGGCCATCCTCAGAGAGGCCTGCAATCATAAGCTCACACCTGGCACCCGCTTTGTTTTTCTAAGAAGTGCGGTTAACAACAATGCTTTATCATGAGTTACCACCTTTAAACAGTAAACATTTTTAGACCCTGTTTGAAATATGACATTCTCATCACATATTGTCTTTAGTTTCCCAATTCTGCATGAAATTTTTGCCTGTTTATGTGTACTATTTTCATTCCTGGTATGGCCTGAAACAGCATTGATTTCCAGGCTAGTAAAGTTTTTGTCTAGGTTAAATATTTTTTAAACCCTATGTTAAAAATAACTGGATGATTGAAAATATATTGATCAGTATATCCAGAACAGCTGTAGCTCATTTGTTTAAATGTCAGACCAAAGGTCGTCATATTGCTATTACTCTGCACCGTGTAACAATCAGGGGCTTCATCAGAGCATCATTGATTGTATTCCATTGTTGACTGTAGATCATCATTGAGTCTGTCTAACAGTTTGCAACTGTCACCTTTCTGCTACATCGACAGACCCTAGACTTCATGCTTTTTGCTTTATTAGTCTCTCTATTAACAGATTAACTAGAAACCATTAACATGTTTACTTTTCATGTCAAGCAGAAGAAAGGGGCTGTATTATTATCAGGCAATGTATTAATTTCTTGCAGGACCTGAGGAAGGTGAAGAAGCAAGAACTCTAGGCTTGGCAATGATACCTGGCATTCATATTGTTGAAATTCATGTAGATACTAATGTACCAGAATTCAGGACTCAAACCCACCCGTTAGGGTATGTAAATTTAGCAAATGAAGCATAATAGACTGATAATGTGTGATACATCATCAACTTTGTTTTGTGAATATTAAATTTTTTATATTCTTAGCTATTTAATGAAAAAATTTTACAAACTTCACTAAAACTTCTATTCAAATGATCCTTTATCTAAAAGTTTTGCTAATTGTCCATAGTTGATAGGCTCTGGTGGTCCTCAACCCACACAGATATCAAGTTTATTAAGAACCTGAAAACATTGTTACATCTTATTGTTTACACAAATGCATATTAGTTTAATGTTTATACTTCAGTAAATCGAGATAAATTAATTGCAAAATTTTGGTTGGGGGCAAATAAATTTTGGTTGAAAAATATTTACAGTCTTATCATGCAGCCATGACTTTTCAACACATCATGTATAAAAATGCTATCAAATTTTTTTGTGGCGACGTCATTTTTCAAATTAATTCTTCACACTTTTAAGTTTGTTTAGCATAAAAATTATTGTGCAATATCACTTTTTCCAATATAATGTCACAGCAAATAATTGCCACAAAAAATATTATAACTGTGAGTGCATACTTGATATAATGAAAACACGCCATTTATTTGGCTTATCCTTTGTAATTTTTCAATCGAAAATTTTAAGATGCAATTGCTCCAAAACTGCCTTAGTCTTACTCTATTGCAAGCTCATTGAACAGAGATTCTTGAAACAGAAAAAAACGAAAAAATTTATACAAGTTTTATATTAATATTACCTTCATAATATTATGCCACATCGCTGTTCATTTCGGGCTCTATTGTTCAAAATGTATTTTGCATATTGGACATTTCAAATGGACATATAAAATAAAGTCCTATGACTGCTGCTCAGTTGGCAATACACGGTATTTTTCTATACATTATTCCTCCAAAATGGAAACGAAGCTGTGAAAAGGCTTGACATCAATGTGCCTTCTTCAGCCAAATTTGGCCACGTCAATAGCTTATCGTGAGTTTCCAGCAAGCAATAATATGAAAATCATTACTCTGTAATAGAGTATTTATTCCCAAGCTTTAAGGTTTCACAAACCTCCCAACACTTCGTAAGGTTGTTGATAATTTACGTTTACGTGCATCAGCTTAGGTTTTGAGATGAACATGACAATATAATGGTGACCAGTTACAAATTCGTTACTCTCGGATTTCAGGCAATGTGTTCTCTTTTCCCCAACTTCCATGTTTTATAGTTTTGAATATTTATAAAATAATCTTTCCTTTAGCTTTGCTAGCTACATTAATTACTGTCGTTTCAAGCAATGTAAGCCCATAGCAGCCTTTTCCTCACAGATACTTTAAAGTGTCTTAATTGCCCAAGCATTTGTTTACGGTCATAATTATTTTTCTAAATTCCTGTTTCTATGCGTTTTTGTTTGATAGCATGGCAAGATCAGATCTAAAAACTAATTAAGCCAACAAATTCGTAACATAGCTTTGTCCAGCGTTCTGACAATTTGCCAGATTTCCTTAAACACGCTTATTTTTCTTTAGTTCTATGCGTGCCCCGAATAGATTTCATTATTTTCAACATCTGCATTTTTTTAATTCGAATCTAATTTAGAGTAGTTATCACAGAGAGAACTTAAGCTTCTTAAATAAAAAGCATGCAAATCTATAAAATTTGGGCGCATGCTCACCTAGCATCTTTTCCATTTTTCTTAGGAATTTTAATCAATTTTGTGACTTATTTGTCCACTTTTCATAGGTCTCATTGTCCTGCTTGTTTGATGATGCTAGATTTGTTAGGGTAAAGTACTGTTGTGTTTGTCAGCAAAAAAGAGGTGTGTGATCTAAACTGCTCCTTGCCGTTTCTCTCGCAGGAGTCTTTAATACATTGCTGAAAAATACTTCGTAAAATGTCCCATCAAGGCTTGTCCCTACAAAGGTTTGTTGTACTGGTGCATTTTGACATATTTTGGTTTTCGTGATCGCCAGATCCACATGTTAGCTTGTCTGATGACGACCTTTGATATCTATCGAACTGTATGCGAAACATTTGTCAACTAGCTAACATCAGGCATATTTTTACCATTGTCGTCTATAGTAGACATGTGTGAGTGAATCGAAGGTCGCTGAGATCGAGCTGTTTTGTTCTCTGGGCTCCATGCACCCGTCAAAGCTGTTGCTCTACTGTTTGTCATACGGGCTTCAAAATTATCAAAACTGGCCCCGCTACCTAAAAGTATAGTCTCTTTACTAGGTATGGTGCGGTTTTTGCCTTTCAAAAATCTGAAGGAGCCGAAAACTCCTTTCATCTTCTGCTTGTTGTCCTTGGAAAGAAACTCCATTCTTTTCTTCATATGCCTTGCATACATTTTTTCCACATTTTCTGTCCAGGCGTCTGTAAACTCTGCTAATGCTTCTTCACAGACTCTTTCAATATGTTTGAGTTCGAACGGTTCTAGAAAAATATTGTACTAAATCAGATTTTGTGCTGAATATATTGGCAGCATAATACCGAAAACCTACAACATGGTACAAAAAAGTGAAACCTCTTCCAAATCTAGCTAAAATTTTTGATTTACATGAAGCGCAAATGTCATTTTTAGGCCAAAGACTACGTTCGTATTTTTGAAGCAGAACAGACAGAAAACTGGGATTGTTTTATACTTTTCTAATATTGACCTTACTTAATTAAATTGAAACTAACAAAGGCTGGGTATTTTTTTGTGTTCCATTAACATTGAAATTAAGTTTTTCCCAGTAATATCTAACCGTTTTAATTAAAATTGGTTGACCTAACCGTTCAAAGAAAAATTTGATATTCTTCTCAAGATTTATGTTTGCATAATCAAAGTTATTTATTAGGAAGTGGCTCGACGTCAGGGCAGGCAAGCCAGACAAATAATGCTCTTTGTTCCTAGGGATAAATTTTTCAAGAAGTATTGCAAATACCTTTTTGTTCCTTTAAAGACAGCCTTTTCCTTTTGTGAATTGTGTATAAAAAGCCCATGATAAATCCAATGACGAAAAGTGAGCTGACTGTTATAAGAGATTTCCTCAGCAGGGGTGAATGAGAATCAAACATTGAAACCGTCTCTCCCTTTTCTTCATTCACCTGTATAGTAAATAAACCAAGAGTGAGACAAAAGCCACAATAGGCGATTCACGCTAGACTGATAGTTTTATAGAGAACTATATTGAAGTTGAATGGAAGATAGTCGAGAGACTCTACCAGAGAAATCTATTGAATTACTTCATAGAACATTGTAAAGTAAGTAAAATGAAAGGTATTTGTTCACAATTTGTTTTAGAGAATGCAAAGAAAAATAAATCGAGAACTGTTTTACAGAATACTGGATAACATTTTGCACAAGACTCTTGTAACATTTATGACAATACCATATGACAATATCGAATTTTACCTTCGAGAAGTTTTAATAGCCATTTGTTGCATTGTTTCCAATGGAAAATGTATACTATCCAATTGAAAGACTGATCTATTTACCTCTAATCCAGCCGTCCTTTCTTCAATGAACTTCAAAATAGTATTAGATTGTGCATTGAGATAACTTCTGAACTGAGGTGCTGCATTTTTCATGTCTCCCGACAATACAAATCCATAGGCACTTGGGTATCTGATGCTTCTTTTTGCTATGATATCAGAATCCGAAAACAGATCTTCCCGGGCTGCCGCAGAATATATGTCTACAATTGCACCGCGGACCTGACGCGTTTTCAAAGCTTCTGCTACTTCTTCAATTGTGTTGTATTTTTTCTCTGAAAAGTAAGCCTCTACTTAACAAGCTTTGTTAATTCAATACTTAAATCAAACGAATGTTTATGTATTTGCATCAAACTTCCGCTCTTTACTAAAAAGAGTCACCTTTACCGAATAAATTTTTCATTTTTTAGCGATGACTCTATGCCCTTATTCTTATCAGAACCACGCCAGTCATTTTGCTACAGTTTCATAGTAGAATGCCAGACAGAATGTTGCTAGAATGCTAGCAAATGCATAAAAATAATCTAATACCAAAGACAATAACCAGCTTATATACAATGATGCAGGCAGTGAGCACGAAATTGGAGGACATTGCTGACTTCTATTCTTAGGAAGCTCGCTGTCTTTAACTGAATACAAGCCAGTTCTAAACCAGGTATATTAAGGTGCATCGTGTAAACCAGTGTCAACTTAACAATGGTCTAGAAATTTTACATAAATTTTTGGTTTTCTTTTTTGAAAACATTTTCTCAAAAGATCGATTGCAACGTGGAATAAAACATTGAAGATGATTCTAATTTTTCTTAATGGTGCAACTGGACGTGTTCCTTATGGTGCAACTGGATGTGGTTATGAATTATCGAAGTATGCCGATTCCAAAAACAGAAGCTCGTATAAACTATATGTCAAGTGCATAACAAACCTGCGTAGAAGTTACAGACGCAAAATGATTTATCTCAGGTACAAAAATAACGTCCTCATTCCTGAACTTTTTAAAACAAATGGATAATTTTTTGACTAAGATGTGATTACAAAATAGCCATACTTGTGTTAACTTTGGCATTCCTGTAAATCCCTATTTTATGCGCCACTGAATCGTGAATTGCAGCTACCTACAAATGAATTGCAAAGGCAGGTATTGTCATGTTTATTCTCGGATAGGAATTACTTTGGATTGCATTGATAAGAACAGACACTGACACTATTTACAAACTGCCTAAATAAAAGGAACATCACCATTTTGATATTAGCGATCAATGTGATTAAGCATCGCTTTTCGGAAAATTTAGAACCTGTTTGCCAAGAAATATGTATCAAGTATTGTACACTTAGAATTTCTCGTTGTCGACCTACAGCTAAGCATGAAATTTTAGGATTTTCATTCGTCAACACGAGCTTTCTTTAACATGTCTTCTAGTTAAGGTGTTAAACATATACAGTGCAACTCACTTCGATATGATTATAACTACGACAAGGAGCTAGATATGTCGTTTCTAAATTGTGCGAAATATATTTGACGAAAAGTAACGACAATCCTCACTATCAAAAGTGACAACGGATGTCATTCCGAGTTAAGCACTGGTAATGCATTAATATAGGCAGTTATCAATATAAAGGTGATGAATTTGAGGCTCTTGTCACTTCGATTAACTTGCTTCAAGAGGGTTCTAACTCGATTTAAACCAATCAGCATGCAGGTAACTTGATCCAATCATTCACAGAACAACTGAATCCATACCAACAACCTATTAGCATGTTTTAATGATCGTGAAAGCAGAAGCTGTGTTTTGGCATATTCCCTATAAAATACTGGAACAGTGCTCTGATAAGAACATCACTGTTAGGCGAAGGTCATGTTAGTCTAAATCGGGTTTTTCCACAGACATACCTCCACTCCATACAGCGATGGGTCACTGTAAACCTGAGTTGCAGTTATTGCTGTTGTTAAGGCTCCCGTGAATATTGCCAGATTAATCATTCCAACAAGTATCCAGACCATAGCAAATAACCTTGGTCCCAATCCTCGAGGTACCAGATCTCCATATCTAAAGGTGAAAGTCTTATTCGTCAAAAACATTACAGAGATGTAGTAGTCTAGAATATGCTCTGCAAATCATTTGAACAAAATATTGATTGCTGGATCATTGGTGTCCTATGAATATGTTCTCTGTTACTCTGAGTTTCGTTCTTGCGCACTCATCAGACTACCGTATTTCCATAAAAATAAGCTGCGGCTTATTTTTTTATGAAATGAATTTTTTCGGCCTACTTTTGAATCGTCATATTTTCGAATCGGCTTATTTTCGAAGGTCGGCCAATTTTCGAGGAAATACGGTATATCGATTTTTCCATATTTACTTTGCAGAATGGAAACATAATGATTAATATGCATTATATGCATACATAAACCTATTATGATTTATCTAATTAATTTCTTGCCTTAAATGTATCCGTTTTGGTATTGGTTTAGTAATTTTAGCGTCAGATGACCATTAAATTAATATATTGTATAAAATATTTTCTGCATTATTTACTAAGCTTTGAGCCAAGTGAAATTTTGTGTTGTCAACCCATAAATCATCTCCATTTGTTTAAAAAAATTTGAAAAGTTCAATAAAAAATGCACATAGGTCTGGCTACTATTATTGGTTACCGTTGAACCTGTAACGGCCTAAGCCAAACAGTTGATGTGCTTTGATCATTCTAGGGCAGCTCATAAGATCTTACCCGTGTGTTCCCATTGTGATATATGCCCAGTACATTCCATCGAAAACTCCTGGTAAGCAGCTGTTAGGGAAATCGCTCTCCTTGTTTCCAAACTCCTGCAAAAGACCTAGCCGTTATTGTCTGAAGGTAATTCTACTAGTGTGTGGCATGTGCATAATAGTGTGTGTGACTGGATTGTGCTTGTAGCAGAACACACGCTATTTGCAAGCGAGCCTCTAAGCAAGTTAAGCTTACTCATCTAATAATGTTTCAAAAACAGTCAATTGTTTTCAGCTTGAAATTATCGTTTTATGACTTTGTTGTTATCGTCAGTTTATTTCATTTTATTTTCATTTTGTCATTTCGATCCTTGTTATTTCTATGACATGACTGTGTTGTTATCGTCAGTTTATTTCATTTTATTTTTATTTTGTCATTTCGATCCTTTGTTATTTGTTATTGCTCAAATGAAGGGAATTATTTGAAGAACAAAAATATATCTTAAGCTATTTTAAAAGTAAATCAATTACCCTCTGAAGGATCTTCTTTGAAAATATGAAACTTTAGTTAAATATGCTACTGTTATATTACAACTATAAAGGGTTTGTAGATAAAGGAGCTTTCAAGTCAAAAGCTATCATTTTTAAGACGCCTGAGACGAGGCTACTGACATTTATTAAGCGATACTTACAAGTGCCCACATGATGTATCCAGCTAAGGTTAATAACACGACATTCATTGCAAATATCGGCCATGTCTCTAGAACTCCACGCATCATGTTAGCTATTTGATCTTGTACACTGTCTTTGATGATAAAATAAACTACTCCAGGATGGCTGAAAACTGGCACAAACGAAAATCCGTAGTATGTTGTGAGTTCATTGCTTCCAAATACAGGAAAACTTATGTCTACATAACTGTCAATGTCCTTTTTCATTTCTTGCAGCGACCGTTTTTCAGCCCAGCCATTCTTTCCATTATTTTTGTAGTCTATCTGACTTTCTGGGCTCCTTTTGCATGTCCCACATGTGTATTGTGTTAGATTAGATAGAATGCTTGCAAAGAGACCGTCAATGTTTCCTTTACTATCCCTGTATATGTATGGGGCACTTGCAGCGAAGTTTGTATACATTTTAGGAGGACAGGCGCAGGTTTCTAGAACAGAAAATATTAATGGTATTGTGTTTGACATAGAATGATACTATATTAGCCAGATTTGTGAAAATTCTTTTCAGAATAATTTTTGTTTATTAGCAATGCTATAATGGATTCATTTTTATTTTTTATTTTTGAAATTGATCTCATAAATTTTGGCTCATTGGGTTTGATTGATAGGGAAATGCAATGTTTACTTATGACAAATGCTTTGTTCTTTGGATACTCAGTTCTATGGAAACTGCATTTTGCTAAAACCCACAGCTTGTTCTTTCGGGCAGACTTTTGTTTGAGGTTTATTTCGTTTGATCAAGATCTTTAGTTCGAATTTCTTTGATACATGCTCATTATCAATTCTGTTTAATCAGAACTCCCTGCATTAATTAGAAAATTAGTGTTCTTTGGGTCCAGTAGGAGACAAAGAAAAAATTTTCCTGTCGCTAGATTTTATAGAAGATTTCTGTATATGGACGATTTTGTTTGGTACCTCGTGTATGCATGGTTTTATTGCTACGACCGATTCTTTTCAGGGAATTGTATTGCAAAAACAGGATGCTGATTGTGCATGTGTGTAAGCGTTGACGTAAAGGCCGATTTACACGATAAAATTTCCTTAAAATTTCCGTCACATTTTTCATATGATCACAGGCTGTTATCGTGTAAGCGACCGTGTAAACGATCACGACTGCTGATGTAATAAGAGTATACTTTCATAGCAAATAAACATGAATTTGAGTGAGATCAGTGGCCAATAAAATGCCCGCCAAACCAGTAAGTACTTCGTGTGTTTCTCCTAGATACCATGATTTGTCGGTGCCTGTGAAAAAATTGCATCAGAGACTTTTCTATTTGATCGCTGGTCAAATGAAAAATCGGTGAATGGGAAATTATCAGGCAATTAAAAGGGATTAATTCCTGAACACTATCACAGTCTGTGATCACATAAAAAATGTGATGGAAATTTACCTGAATATGATCGTGTAAACCGACCTAAACGCAGTTTAAGGCACTAGTTTGATAGCTAAAGATTCCCGACCAAATGGTGACCCAATTTGATTTTGTATTCATGCTTTTAAAAACTTCGCTCAAGTTCGTCTTATTTTCAAATACTTTAAAATTCAACTGTAGCTTATATCACTCATCTTTCCCTAGTTTAAGAGAAAAAATCATCGCTTTTACATGTTGATGTTGTGTTTAACATGCAATAATATAGCGTTGGATGGGATTTTCTTGCAATCCGTAAGTAAGGGCTTCGTCTCAAATTTTTCCGTAGGGCCCAAGATGCTTTCGTTATGCGATTGTGTGTAGGTTGGGAATATTTGTAGAGAAGGTTTGAAAGAGAGCAGTATCTTTTGCAAAAGTTTTATGGGGTTTGGGAAACTGTTGTATCTATTTACCTAAGCGGTACATTTACTGGAAAAATCTTATGTTGAGAAAAATATGCACATGCTTATGCATAAACAAGTTCCTTTTACTAAGTAGTTACTAAGTACTAAGTACTGCGACACAAACAGGTAGAAAATACATACCTCCATACGATATAGCAGACATCACTCCATCCCCTTGAATATTGTATGCCAAAATTTGAATACTGTATTGGGAATTTGGTTGTAAGTCTGACAACACTGAGTTATTTAACGAGGGGTGTACCTCTTTCACCAATGTTTTTGATCCAACAATGTTCTGCCCTGCTATTTTATTGAGCGTATACAGAACTTTGTAGCCCAGCAAATCACCGTGTACAAAAGCAGAATTTATTGAACTCCATTCGATTTTTATCTGACTATGCCACAAGATGCTCTCGATGATCACATTTTCGGGTGCTTTCGATGGAGCTGTAAAAATCAACTGGTTAATGACAAATAGAAATATTTTACACGACATCGAATTCTATACACTTAAGGTAATTGCGATAGGTTTGTGAGAAGAAACCCCCCTTCAATTCAGAGCTTATGGCCTAATTAATGTTCTTTGACCTTTGACATTTGACTTCAGCTTCGAACCTTTGACATTTGACTGTTACCCCTTCATTTTCATGTTCAACCTCAATCAACGCTTAATTAAAAACAATGGATTTTAATTGTAATTTCGATTGCGATAGGACCCCCATGACTGAACATTGACTGATTTTATGTAAAGGAGGCTTGAACAACGTTGCTTACAATACATGTGGGCAGTTAACAAAAAACACTGTGCAGTAAGTGTAATGACTGGAGTAAGGAAAGATGCAGCTTCCAAATCTATTTTGAACTAAAGGATAGCTGGTGTTTTTGCATTGAAAGTATTACTGTAGATAGCTAGAATAAAAGGTATAGTCTGCTATTCAACAGGTTAGTAGCCTATATCTCAAAAGCTTGTTGCTAGCTAGCTCTCAAATATCTTCAAAAGACTTACCACTAGGTAATGTTGTTGCCTGCACCCTCTGACAAGGCCCAGGTCCTGGAGCTGTCATTTCACAGACATCAATCACGTATGTTGAGATTGGAAATAGATTGGAAAGAAGTACCGAAGATCCAGGATATGTGACAGAGACATTCCCTTTGTGTCCATTGAGATTGTCATATTTGATAAGAGTTCCAAGGGGTTGCCCATTCCACTGCTCTTGTGTTATATGAGTCCATTGGACAATTGCTGTGAACCCAGAAGTTCCGTTGGCACTAACAAGTTTAGGTGGCTGGCTTGGCTCTGTAAGGTGCAAATGTATCTTGGAGCCATGTGAATCTTAGTATAGTGTAAAATAGGGCAACATCTCTATGTCTTTATTGAACTACGTTGCATTTAGGGAAAGATACCTACTACTGCTAACATTTTTAAAGAAGTAAGCCATGAAAGATATTTTCTCAATACATCGCTTATTGCTACACAGTGTATTATGTGAATATACTTCTAGTTTCAAAATTTCAGTTATCTTAATCAATCACACACGCGTAGCTCCCCACCCCCAAGTATGCACACCAAGAAGCATCTAAGGTCATTAAACGAATCCAGCTTGGGCTTCCTAGTCCAAATTCGGATATTTCTAGTGATTTGCATAAAAAGCACGATATTTTCCAGCTTTATTGTTAAACCTTCTTGAAAAAGCCAGAAAATCTTCTGGCTTTTTCAAAAGCTTTAAAAACACGAAATACTTGAAAAAGCTTTAAAAACACGAAATACTACAGGCTTTATAGCTGTTTTTAGGATTTTCTGGCTTTTTCAAGAAGGTTTAACAATAAAGCTGGAAAATATCGCGCTTTTTATGCAAATCATTAGAAATTTCCGAATTTGAACTAGGAAGCCCGAACTGGATTTGTTGAATGACCTTAGATGCTTCTTGATTTGCATACTTTGCAGGGGGGGGGGGGAGCTACGCGTTTGTGATTGATTAAGTTATTGTGGGTGCGAAGAAGATGCAAGGTGTAGATCACAGTGATACAATGGGGGAAGTGTTGTCAGATTGACAATAGTCGCTAAAAGTATTGGAAGAAAATATTTCTCAAACAATCCAGCTTTTTCATATCTTTTGGGAAAAATATATTTTTAGGACTAGGAATTAACGTAATAAGAAAAAGAATCTGATATTTCGTAACCATCTAGCTGCTATTAGCAAATGCTTTTTTCTTCCATACAAAGATAACGTAAATAAAGCAATGATCTATGTGGTAAAAGATTGCTATGGGTATTACGAAAAACACACTTGATTCTTTTGTATAGATATATCTCTCTTCTGTTGCTATACCATTGCCATTTTCATTGTAAGCAAGAACACGGAAGGTATATTCTGTGAATACCTTCAAACCAAACAGGGTCAGCTTCAACCCAGTAGTTGCGATGCTGCTGTATGGCTCAGATCGCAGAAGCTTTTCTTTATAAAACAAAATATAACCACTTATGTTGCCATTTTGGTGCTGCAACGGAGGCTCTTCCCATGAAGCTGTGATTGATGTAGATGTTAATGGCGTTAGTGTGAAGTTCAGTGGAGCTGATCCGGGCACTGAAAAATCAATTGGATGAAAAGGAATTTTCTGTTTAACTTTTAGTACAGTTAACACGGGTGATTCCCATTCATTTTTTAAATTGAAAGATTAAACAGAGCAGTGGCGAAAATTAATTTTTCTGGTAGGGAGGGGGGAGGGGGCGTAAACCACAAAAAAGCAAATTATCCTACAAATGATGAAACGTGCCGTCAAAACGCTAAAAACTGGGCGAAGGCTGGGGGATCGCTCTTCCCCCCATACCCACAAAATTCCCGCCACTGACACAAAGAGGCGAGAAAAGTCCTTTATTCGATGGCTAAAGGGCATGATTCCAGGAAAATAATGATCTGAAGGCAAAGGCCTAGGGCAAATGAAATATTGAAAAGTGAAAGTATATGCTTTGAATTGGAAATTGTTCATATATTCTGTCCTATATACATTGATTAATGTACATGAAAAGCTCAAGTTGATTCCATTCTACTAATAAGATGTATCAGAATACAAACTATAGACTGATATTTTGAATAGAGACTAGAAAATGTTAGCAGAGGTTGCATAAAAGTAGCAACAATCAATCCCACAGGGTAAATCCCCAATAATGCTACAATAAACAGGACAATATTAATTATTCCTGATTTTATGATAATGTGACATAGAAGAAACAATCTTTGTAATTGAACCTTGGCATAGCATTTTGACTTAGAAAAAACCGGGCAGAAAATGCATTTTGCTAATCTGGAAGACATATTTTAAGAGATTATAGGTCAATACATTCATAGGCACTTTTTGCCATTATGTATTTGGACTTGAAGCAATTTGTTGATATTTCACAAGATAACTGATGCTGCTTTAAAAACCATATTTTACCTAGATCTTAAATACCCAAGAAACATTGCTAGAAAAATTAGATTATTGAGAAAGCGGCAAAGGAAATAAGCCTTACCTATGGTAGTTTTAAACGTCTGATTTGAACCAATTATCTTAAGTTTTCCAAGATATTTATCGTTTTCTATTGCCTCTTGCAGAAGAAGTATTTGAAAAGAATCAAGGCCAGTAAAAACGAGCGTAAATGTCCCAACAATACTACCTTGCCTAAACGAAAGGAAATGATAAATAGAGATAGGATTTCGTCTTTATACAGCAAATTGACTGAAAAAAATTGGAAAATGGTACAAAAGTTAAAATCATCTTTTAAAAAGCTAGCATTTTGAAAAATACAAATGACCATTCTACGCTCTGACGCTTTATACTCTAAAGATTGCCAGACAAAAGGTATAGTATGTTTCACAATGTTTTCTGTTTCAAACCGATTGAAATTTAACTTATATATAGAAAATCATCTTGCAAGTTGGTTGGAAAGCAATTAGCCAGCTGTTACGGCATCATCGTGGCATTGATTTTCATTACCAATCAGCTTCCATTACTAATACACTCCCAAAAACAGAAGAAATTCTTCAGCATTTTCTCAAGAATCAATTGTTCAAAAATCAAGTTTGTTCTTATTGACATACCGCAGTGAGCCGACACTTGTAGTAAGGTATGTTGAGTTGACAGATGAGAAGGTAAAGAGTCTTCTTGCCTAAAATTTTGAAATTTCAATGATGAGAAACATGCCCAATTGAAGCAAATAAAAAATGTGAGCAGGAAGAAAACGACAAATGACAAAACGAACACAACGATCAACTTATTACAAGGAGAAGAGATCGTTTGATGCAAGAAACGTAAAGCTAAAATAAAAAATTAAGTAATGAGCAAAAAGGACATAATCTAGAAAAGAAGTCCATTAATTCACGCCCAAAATGATGTAGAGGCCGAATTTTGATAAAATAATGCATCGATCTGGTAAAACACTGCCGCATTAAACAGTTGTTTAAATAATACGAAACATAAAAAAGGAGGCTTTTTTCCTCTCAATGCAATCAGATTTATTGATCTAACATCTTTGCATTCATTAATCTTCTCGTCAATTCAAGTTGTATAATACTCCAGAGGAGGGCTTGATTTTGCAAATATGTATACAGCTAAGCAACGTTGCTTGCTTCTTTTCAAAATAATGACTTTTGATAAGAATATTTGATTAAATCTATGGTTATACATTTAAATTCTATGTAGCAAACATTGCTAACAAGTAATTTTGATTATATTATAGATCTACAACCCGTATTTGGCTTCTAAAGTTAGATGCAAATTTGATACTTTTTCTCCGCGAAAGTACTTTCTGTTTTGCTTACATTTTTCTTCTTCGGTTAAAAGGTATTTGCAATTTATGATTGATTTGATACTGTGATTCTGTTGCAATTTATGTTTTTCTTTTATAATAAGATAATTCAAATGGAAATAAAATATAGTTCTTACATGTAGGTTCTCATTCTAAGATAAAAGGTATTGTATAAAATAATTTTTTTAGACCTTGGGCGTTGATAAAATTCGTCTTTTCAAAGGCGTTAAATAAAAAATGCAATTGAAAGGGGTTTTCCCTTTTTCACCAGGAAAGTCTTAACAGAGAATTCGTGCGGAAAGTAAATTCTTATGAAATTATAAAGGTTCCATTTTCCTATATAACGCCTGCTCAGATCCCGTTTTTTCTACGAAGCAGCGTGAACAAGGAGGTGTCTACTACACTTAACCAATCTCAACTCGGATTTTAAATAAGATAAGACATAAGAAAGATCAAGAGCGTTAAGCTGACCACTTATGGGTCCTCAAAAATCAAAGTTAATTAAGTTTAAAGCAAAGTTGTCTGCATTGTGTCAATAATAGGTACGTTTTTAAGGGAAGAAAAATTGCTCACGTTGAGTTGCAGAAGATCTCGGAAGTCATTGAATGCTGAAGAACCTTTGATGCCCATACTGTTGTTCCACAAGAGATCAAACTTAACATCAACAACTGTGACATTCTCGGCTAAAAATGCAACATATAGATGCTCTTAAGTATATCTTTGAATGCTAAAGTAAAAATCGAAGTTACACAGGTATTAAATTGTATTCTTGGTGTTTAAATACTTTTGAATAACGAGCCTTAGCAAAGAAAGAATAAGACCAACATTAGAGTAACCAACATGAAAACTAACTAAACACCAACTAGTCAAAATATGAAGATTGAATGATCCAATTTTCCTCAAAACACCAAAAAATCATTCAGGAAATCATATGAAAAACCATTCGAAAAAACAAGACTTGAAAAATATATATATTAAGTTTTTATCGTGGCTTTTCTTTGCTTGCCTCTTAAAGTTTCTAATAATATGCTCGATTTCTCTTTCTTCTACCATTTTAAAAATTATTAGCATGGCTACCAGCACTCATGCTATTGCTTTCTCTCTTCAAATAACTGGGCAAAAATCGTGTGTAGTTGATGTTACACTTTTGCTGATCGTTTAAAAACATTGCTAATAATCTTCAAAACTTTTTATCTATTTCAGTGCAATCAATTTTTAGTTTTAACGAAGAAGGAAATTCTAATTCGTAATCATGACCTTACAGTCAATTTCCTTAGAATATCAACTTTGTTATCTCTTCCAACACAAACTGGTACAATAGCAGCAATACCTGGACAAGGTTTATCGTTGCATTTCATCTCACTGGTACTGTTTCCTGGACAAACATTACCGCCATAAAGTGGGGCAGGGTTGTTACAGAAACGCCATCGCATATTTCGTCCTGAGTTGCATGGTTTATCACACGCCGACCATTCTGTCCAAGAGCTCCAGTTGCCATGAACTGAAAATCCAAACAACAAGAAGTGAACTGCTGGAGCCACAATACAACATCGATTCGATTCACGCTTTTGGTGAATAGAACAGGACGGATCTAAGGTGCGATTCGTTTGGATTTGATTCAGGTGTTTTTCAATGTTGGTGTTGAGTGTAGCTATGTTTGTTAACCCGAAAGTTAATTGCAAGATCAGGTTTATGAAAAACTTCTTTTAGAATGATTCAAGCAGAAAGTGCAGTTGAGAAAGCACGTTCAGAATAAAAAATATGTGGCAGAGCTGAATCTAAACAGGCTGTCGGAGGAATCAAATGTCCCTTCAGAGATCTTTTACTGGGATGCATATGCACTTGCTATCTGTCGTTTTTGTCAATACTATTACAAAATGATGACAATTATCATTATTCCATACAATAAATTTTTAATTGCACTTTTGCTTTGCTTCGTAGTCATATACCAGTTATATAAATGTCCTCCATACATATTTCGTTAAGATCTAAATACTCTAAGTCTAAAAATTATTTGAGTGTATCTAATTTCCCTTTGATCTATATGATTTTAGCTGACAAAACTTATTAACTTTTGAGTGATTAAATGTTGAAAAATACAATAAAGACGAGGAAGTGACTGAAGTAAGAAATATTCTCAAGTTACCCGGACAAAAGTTCAAATTGCATATGTCACTTTTTGATCTATCTCCGAAGCAATCAAAACCCCCGTATTGGGGGGAAGGGTTGGTGCATGTTCTGCTCCGGGTTTTCTGTCCTCCTCCGCATGTTTGTGTGCACTCTGACCATACAGACCATTCAGAAAATCCTCCATGGACTAAAAATATGAAGAGTTGAAGATCATTTGCAGTTGTCATTATTCAGGAATACGAGGCTACTAGTTTAGGAGCAACAGAGTATAGATAAGCTAGTCAATTTGATATTTCTGAAAGTTTTACTTAAATGTTGTCCTAATAAATACTTTTCAATTGCTTCCTTTCTCCTGAAATCAAGTTTACCTGATCAAAAGTTACTCCTACCACTGACGTAGGAAAATGGTACAATGTATTGAAAGAAAGATTTCACGAGAAAATTCGGCAGATTTCACATTATTGCAGCATTTCAAAAAAATGTTGTTGATGCAAGATGGATTCTTCAAACGCTATTTGGGGTTACGTTTGGTGCATATTCTGCTCCGCGTTGTAAATGGTTGTAGAATATACAGTTGTTGAAATAAAGAAAGTTTAAACATACTCGGGCAAGGGTGTGTATTGCAGTTTTTTTGGTCTGATGTTTGGCCTGAACACGAATCTACAATACACGTGCGTGTTCTGGTTTGTACACCTCCATTACAAGACGCAGAACAAGATGACCAGGGAAGCCAAGGTCCGAAATTATCTTCATCACCTAGAAAAATCAGACGAGAGACCTTCAAATGAGTTGATTGTGGTAGACATTAATAGCTACTTTACTGTTTTCTTGAAGGTTACAGTTGATGCATAGAGATTGATGGGCACAATAACATGATATGCGTGATCCTAGCCATCTCTCTACGTTATGCTGGTTTTCAAACAACTTAATCATGTAATCTAACTTTAACAACATTATGTATATGAAAACACTGCTTCCTACTTGTTTTTTCAAAACAACAAACGGACAAAACAGCAGAAAACAATCAACAAACGAACAAATGCAAGAAACTTCTAACAAACCACTTCAATGATTTCACATAGTTTTAACGGTGTCTCATAGGCAAGTGAAGATTAGAGAATAAAAGTAGTTCTTGTTTACACAAAAACCCTCAACATTCATAAATTTGATCTTACATCAAATGCAAGGGTTTTTTTCTTTAAAAAACAACCATCAATAATGGAAAGGCATGGGCAATACCTGATATCAAACATTTACACAGTCGTCTTATTCCAGTATTGTTGAACCCTTGAACGTGACAATTGATTCCTGATTCATTTACTGCTATATATCCAGCGCAAATAGAACCGTTGATGTAGTATGATGGGTCATATGCTTTCTGCCATAGTTTTTTTGTTTCACTGTCCAAGCATGTAACGCCTTCAGCGGTAAACACGGACTCAGAATTTCCTGTGACGATTGTACTTGTGCAAATTTTCCCTTCAAACAGAATGAAAAATAAACTTTCTTTCTAATATGAATCCGATATTTCTGCTGGGACTCAATGCTCATATTTTCTGGATAAATTAGGCTCGGGTGTTCTTAAAGGCTCTTGCGCAACCAGCATGCTTTGCTGTAAAAGTCTTTATGTTAGAAGAATTGGACAGTATTTGGTACTTTCAAGCTGTACAATATTAGACCTATTTTGAAAACAAAGTTGAAAATCATTCCTGTTGCGCAAGACCTTTCAATATTCCTCCTATATCACCATTGATTTAGTTACATTTACACACTATATATTTTTCCAAAGCCCTGTTTACACTATAACTGTCAAACCGGGTTGAGCCTGAGTTAACATAAACCTGGGTTAGAAATTTTGTAGTGTAAATGCAGCTAACCTGGGTTTAAGCCAACCCTACTCTGGGTTGTGTTGAACCTAGATTGATCCCATGTTAAGATCTTCGGAATTCAGTGTAAACGCAAACTTGGGTTGAACCAAGGTTAACGAATTGATGCGTGCACGCGCTTTTCAAGCTATGCATCAAAAGGCGCCTACACGCGCAAAAGTTATTTTGGAACGCTCAGGGGAGAGATCTTTCAATTCAAAGCAACAAATTTTTGAAAATGCGCGAGTTCGCTGCCAACGAAGTCATGGCATTAATCGAAATGTTGGCGTACGAAGGGATCAAGCAACATCTAGATGTACAAGATAACTGCCTATATTCGAAGAGATTGCAGGGAGACTGAAGGGGAAAGGTGAAAAAGATAGGACCACACCACAGTGAATACACTCCCCACATCAAATTCTCATTTATGCCGTCCGCCATTTTAAAAGATGCCAATGATCACGCATGCGTGGCGAAACTAACCAGGGCTCAACCCAACTTTGCGTTTGCACATTCCTTTGTGGTCAATGTAGTGTAAACGAAAGTGGTTTCAAGCTGGGTTCAACCCGGTTAGAAAGTTGTGTCATAAAAAGCTTAAAATCACTAACAATGTTTTGCGTTGCATTTTTAGGGATTATTTAGATTCTTCAAGAAATTCGTTAAAATAATAATTAATAATAATTTCTTTATTTAAAGTTGACTCTTATTGCTAGCACACGTGCTAATTTAAGCCAATCGAAACTTCAATGCAAGATACTATAATAAATTAAATCTAAATCACAAACGAGAGAATCCTATTAAAGAACATAACTAAGAAAACCCTAAATTACCTATATACAATCTGCACAATTTACAATTGCAATCAAAATCGTAGCTTTGAATTTTTCTTTTGAAGGTGTTAAATGTCTGGGACTCTTTTATAGAGGATGGCATAGCATGCCATATCCTAGATCCAAGAAAACATGCACTTTCAATACCATACCCTGTTGCTTTTGGTTTCGGTGCAAAAATACTTTTGCAGCTTCGAAGGTGGTAAGGTACATCTTTCAGAACGAAAATTTGTTTCATGAAACTAGGATTGAGATTGCTTTGAGTTTTAAAGAGTTTGAGTTTTATTTTCTTCAAATACTGCACCTGGCTCCAACGCTCTTAGAAGTGATTGCTAATGCAACCTGCTTTTATTTTTAAGCCGCGTTTTCCATAAAGGAAAGAATCCATTAGTAATCATCGATAAATCTCTTACAAAGAAAGCTGCTGATGGGTCATTAATGTTGTATTACTTGTCCAATGATTTTATCAATGTTCCTTTAAAAAATTATATCAACCTCACAAATTAGATCACTTCTGTTGTCTGGTGTGACATAGAAAAGTCTTTGTAGGTGTGTCATTGGTAGATATGTCATGCGAAGCTATTGTAAGGGAACCATGTTTTGCTCCTATTCAATCATTTGAAGCAGACGCATAAAATAAAAGTATTGATTGGAAAATAAGACAAAGGAAAATATATCTAGAAAGATCAAAGAAACCCAATGAATTCGCCTCAATTGACAAATGCTGACGGTACACAAACACCACTACCACTCAGAATGAAAGTAAAAACTAGAACAATGATACACAAAAAGCATTGAAGGCAATGTCGAAAATAACTCTATCATGAGACATTATCTATACGAACCTATTCTTTGGCAGAATTCTAAACATTGCTGTCCAGGGTTGGCTAAGTAAAAATCGTTAACTTCAAGATTCTCGGTCGTGTTCACTGCAAAAAAATCAATATCATTATATTATTGTTTATAAACTTAAAAAACAGTGTACAGTAATAGAAGTATCCTGATTTTGTTATCATTACAAGGTTTCTGTTATTCATTCAGTTACGTAAGGATGCATAGTCCCACACAAGGAAGAGTCGACTTGGTTAGACATCCACGTCACAATGATCCTCTCTCATTCGCCTTGAATTGCTTGTATTTTTGAATGCTTCTGAGTTTAAAGGGCCTTAATGTGAAGTTAAAAACAATCAATTAATATCAACCGTTTAGATAATTTTGTTATGTTGAAGACAGTTTAAATGATTGCCATTGTTCACAGTATATTAGTTTGATTTGATATTTCTGATCGGGGTGGAGTTCTTTTGATACATACGCTAAAAATTGATTTTGCTTGAAATTTTAGGAAGTTTTAGTTCACCAAGTTCAATATTTCAAAATATATGTGAGCTTTAGATTTTTATTCTGAAGCAATTCATATTTACAATATAATTATGAATTCAACAGAACCACTTCTCTTCCGAATCTCTGAAGTACGAATTTGTGGCTTCACATATGAAGACGATATCATGCGAAATTCATTGTGGCGGCAAATTTTCTTCTCATAGTCACCAAACCAATATACTCTTTCCTCCTAATTTAATTCAATTACCGATACTGAGGTGCCTAAAAACGGTGCAAAGTCTTCAAATACCAATAAAACATTAGCCAAGTGGAAGAAAATACAGGGAAGCTTTTAAGTATGGGAGAGGCACTACAGTTTAGAAGCAATATACTTGGTTCTAGTGAGTTGCGAGTTGACTACGACTGTTCTATTCTTTAGAATAACTCTTCTATTGATAATTTATGTTTTCAGCAATATTTTTGCGAAAGTGCAAAAATTTGGCTGTTTTATTAGTACCTATACAGTCAAAGCAGAAATCTGAAAATCTAGGCCTGAGTTACACGACCCCAGATTGGTTATCAAATCGAACTGACCGCCCAATCCGAAGCGATAGCACTCAGCTTTCAAAAGTCTTTACATGGCTTTGTATTGTCATTCACTCCGTTTGCCTCCATGCCACACGACACCGGATTGCCATGCATCTTGCTTAGGAGAGAGGCAACGGATTGCCTCAGCGTCGTGTGATTGAAACCCTTGTCCAAAATAAATGCGAATCCAGGCCATGTAGCTAAGGCCTTAGGAAGGCCCTTCAAAAAAATTAAGGCCGTTCAAAAAAGTTATGGTATAGTACTACCCGAAGGAGAGAAAATTTGATAGACACGTGTCCCTGTTGTACCACGTGGTTAATAAAGTTTTAAGAAAAATAAGCATCTTAAAATTACCAATGCTGGTAGATGCTTTTGTTTCTGTAAGCGTAGACGAAGGTGTTATCGTAAATCCATCTTTTACTTCTGTTTTGTAAGACTGAGCAGTGCTCAAAGAGCTGGAGAAAGCTTTTGTTGCTGTTTGAGCCCCTGTAAGTGAAATAAGAGCAGCGTGAAAGTGGAAAATTTCTTGGGAGTATGCGGTGTCAAACTGATTTCTTAATTTATACCAATCATCTAGTTTTCCAAAAAGCGCTAAATAATTCCAATTTTGCGATAAAAGCCAAGTCGTAACTCTTTGGATCCACCAACACCCAGGGTTTTAGAGCTAGAGTACTGCATCCCCTCTAAATGCCAAAACATAGTCTTGTCTACTTGTTGCTATTGCTCTGAGAAACGTCTGTGTTAACGCTTCCCTTTGAGTCATTTTCAACAGCGTGCTAAGCCTCTATAGGCCAAGGCAAAATGCTATATAGTTGAAACTTAATGCCTACAGCAGGATATCATAAAACAATGATATATGTAAATGACTCTTCTGCAGATTCTGAACAAACTGCAGTATACTTATGATGAAGATCTTTCTAGAAGAGAAATAACTGGACATTTATCTTATTGCATAGGTTATTAGCAAAAAGTTGTAAAGACTTTTTCTAGGGAACAATGATAAGCAATAATGATCATTTCCCATGCTTCTCTTGTCATTATTACCTGTCAATGTTCGAAAGCATTCATAGCAATTTTACTGTTATAGGTGCAAGAAATGAAAAAACGTTTAATCTTTAAATTGTAACGACGAGGAAAATCATTGGAAAAAATTGGGAAGAACTGCTTTATTAAAAATAACCTGTAGCTGGCACTGCTGGGAAAGAAGACGACGATATCATTAGCGTCGTCATATGGATGGTGCCGTGACCATGTATTGTTGTTGTTGTTGTTGTTGTTGTTGTTGTTGTTGTTGTTGTTGTTGTTGTCATTTCATCTATATCGTCTAAAAAAAAGTACTTTGAAGTCAATGTTGTGCATTTGATGAAGCTTCTGAACACAAATGAATCCATAATTCAAAAGTATCATTCGATATCATTGCGTTGATGCCTTATCTATAATTCAAAAGTAATTCAAAACATATTGTGCTCCATCAAACCTTAAGTACATATTTAAAAGAGAAAATATAGAAAGGGAACAAAAGAACCAAGCTGCAAGTGATAAAATCTTAAAAATCTGTTTAAGGTCTGTAATTAGATAATTAAGAATATCTTAGACCAGATGAGCTTTGTTACATCTATTAATTCATTTTAGCTTAGTAGGTACATCGACTTATCAAAAAAATTGTTTGAAAGTGTATACTGACGTTTCATTTTTGAAAAAGCCATTTCTAAATTCTGTAAAGCCAAAACATTTTTTGGAAATATTGTTTTCCTGCCAAAGAATTTGCCTCAACATTATCAATCTTACTCTTCACTGTCTAATTTGTATGCCTTACGCGTAGTCCAAAAAATAATCAGCCTTTCTCAAGATGATTTTTTAAAGCTTTGAAAACCTTTCTAAAAAAACAATGATATTCGGGCATGTTTTAGGTGTGACAATCGTGTTTTGTTTGTTTCTTTGGCCTTCTTCATTGACCGTTTGACCGCAAAGTATTCTGGACACTGGAGGGACGAAATAGGGAGAGAAAAAACTCCGGTCCTCTAGCTCAGGTAAAATTTATATAAACTTATACAGGCTAACATCCTATAAGATCCAACTTTTCTCTCTTTGGATTAATCCTTTCAATTGTACATATGTAAGTTAGTACAATGCTATGGTATAATGAGTCATTTCATACGTTGAATAAAGTCTGATGTTGTACATTCCCCCATTTTGATGGCTGCGTCAACTTTAGTCCAACATTGGCTCTCAGTCCTATATGTCTTGATTTCAGGATCGTAGGTCAAAACCAGCGAAGATGTTAAACAATCTATAATTGTATAAATTGCATTTTTAGAACGGAGTAAGTTCAAAGGGAAAAATCAGGTAAACATTTCCGATGAACTATTTTTGTTATTCACCTAAACAAGAAACTTTAGGATCAAATTGGCGTCAAATAAAAGTGAAGAGGTAAGGTATTTTTAAGTTGGTGTCCCTGTTGTCTTTTTTCAACTTGAGATTTCAATTAATTCTCGACGGGGAGGAAAACTCTATATTTCATTAGATATTGATCTTACTTTTGCTAGGACTATTAGAATAAGTGAAACAAAAATGATCAAAATGAATTTGTTGAACAAAAACTCATGCTTGTAGGTTAAATGAATCAACGAAGAGAAAGTAGTTGATGGTCTCAAGTATATTTAAAAAATTGCGCTCTTTTAAAGGACGAGTGTTTGTTGATTGTGCAGATCAGGACAATTATAAGTTGCCACTTTGAGTTTTGCGCTTAGTTTGATCATCAGAGAACTCTTAAACTACTCTCTCTGTAGGTGTTTTTTATTTTACAGAGGTTAAGCCTCTGGAGATATCGGGTATCACAATTTCATGTAGGTAGTGAATAGGGGTAACTTGAGTTAAATAGGGATAACAACTGTGCTAACGACTACTACACACCAAAGCGTGTACAGTTCTGCCTATTGAGCACTTCTTGATAGGTTGGTAAACAGTAATTTTACCCTTTATTGGTGGTTGCATTATTTTACCCCTCCAATCAGTGTGGTCACACAATTCTGAGCAGCATTTTATCGCAGAAATGCCTACTCTGAGATTTTCTCCCCTCAACCCTGAACTGAATCTTGTAAATTTGAGCAGCACCACCCAATTGTTTTATGTTATAATCCAGCATAGCTTTTCTGAAGGGAAAAATAGCTGCAGGGACAAGATTTCGTTTCTTGAAGATTTGGATAATAGCATATTGCTCTAAACAGTGAAAAGTCACTGTGGCTTAAAGGGCAGTAGGCCCCCCTCCCCTAGTTAGTGTTTTAAAAAAGACCTTGAATCCACATTTTTTACATCAATGGATTGCCTGATTATGAAATTTGCATAAAACGTATAACCATTTTATTATATACTTCAGATCATATATGCTTTATTGGTTTACTATCAAAGGTAACTAACAATTCTTTACCGTCAAAGAATAAGTGACCTCCAGTCGATCTTTCCGCCAAACAAATTGTTGTACCTGGCTTTCTCATTGTTTTGTCGCTGTATACATCAAACACTTGTTTATCATTAGACGTTGATGTAAACCCAAGTTTTGGGTTACCGCTCAGTGATTCGTAAACAAAATCACTGCCAAACATAACATATACCTGTTTGATTCCTGCAAGAAAAAATTATTGGATTATATATGTTCAATTATCTATATTAAATGGACGGCCTAAACATTATAACAAGGATGGACATGTTCATGATATTTTGAAAATTCTTCTGGGTGGACATTCTTTTCACGGATTTTCCAACTCCGTTCAAATAATGATAATGATAATAGTAATAATAATAATAAAAATATTTACAGAGGAAGGCCTCAGTCACTCGAGGGTGCTTTTCACGATGGTCCTCTATTTAACTAATTGTATCGATTTACTAAAAAACATTACAATTAAAAAGTTTATCATATTAGGAGTGGATAAAATCAGTTCACATTGTCCAAAGCCTTTGTTTAAAAATATTAAAATTTCCTGCCAACTTGATGTTTGTGTCCAGTTTATTCCAGTCATCAACAAACAGATAGGATGACATTTGCTTCCCCCAATTTGTTCTTACTTTAGATAGATGGTATTGCTCTTTGTTCCTTGTCTGGATGTTATGCAAATCGTGTCCTGTTTTATTGCTGAAAGTGTAACTTATATCGTTTTTTTTCGACTTGTTAATGGTGGCACATCGATGGAACTTTCGTCTGATATCTAGAGATTTCCAGTGCAGTAAATTTAAGGCCTTCGTGCTTGAGTAATTTAGTTTCATGTTCAATACCAGTTTGGTGCAAAATTCATGTTCAATACCAGTTTGGCGCAAATAATGTACAAATAACACAAAGTTTAACTTAATGATTCAATGTAAAAGTGAGTGCTGATTTTGAAAAAAATACTTACTAGTAGCAATCCCTCCACTATTTCCCGACGCTACATGGAGCAAAGGAAAGATGATCTAGCAAAAAATGTTGCATCAAATAGTTTGCATTGTCAAGAATTAATATTTTCAATTGCAAAATCACTTTTTTCACATAAAATACCAGGAGGAAAATTTCAACTATTGGAAAATTTAACACATAATCCGAATAAAGAGCATAAAATTCTTTAATGGATGTAGCTCTAGCAAAATCAGCATCGAAGTTGGTATTCCACAAGGCTTATGTATTGGGACCCTTTCTTTTCAGACTTGCAACGTTTTTAAAACTGTATGGAAAGTATTATACCATATATGGATGCTGATGATGTTACGTCAATGGAAATGGAGAATTCATAACAGATTTTGTAGGTTCCCTGGAATATTTTGAAAATTATGCACAAGTTAAGTTTTAATACAGTAGAACCTCAAATGGATTCCTCTTAACAACGGACACATTTCAATAACGGACACCTCTCAACAGCGGATATCTCTTAATAATAATGGTCAAAGGACACTTCTCGATACAACGCAATCTCGATACAATGGTTACCTTTATACAACACACAGATACAATGGTCCGAATGTTGTCTGTAAAATTGAGTCTCCATTGCACAGGAGTAAATAGTCCTAGGCAACTGGCAAAAATTTAATAGGATTTATAATGAATTGCCAGATCTTTTTCTCACTGATAAGCTACTCAAAGGGTCAACAAGACAAATATCTATAAACTGAAATAAACAAAAACCTTGGTTGGAAAGGGATTTATGCAATTATTAAAAGCAAGCCGAAAAGCATATTTCAAATAGATAGCTCTCAAACTTTGTTAAGCTCTATTTTCAAAGCCATTTTAGATATGCAAGCTTAAGGATGAAGAGACATGTACATGGTTGACTGAAAAATTCTTTGTTCTGTTCTGACGATGAAGTCTTGCTTATAGAATTCTGCCTAGACCTTTCATACCGAGCATTTACTGAAAAAACCCATATCTTGTATTTAAGAACAAAACAATGCGAACATCTTCCAATGACAAAAGTCAGGCTAAAATATTTAAAGCCAAGCTTCTGTTTCTATGTCATCAAAAACTGGGATAATATGCCAGAAAACATCATTCTTAAAAAGCAAATTAAGAGAGTTCTTTTTAAACAGGGCCCAAACACAATCCCTTGTTTGAGCAGTGCATTATTTTATTTCATTTTTGATCATCAAATGCCAATTGTTGATGATAATTTTATGGTTAATCTCTTTGCTGAAAAGAATTGGTGTATAAATATTGATAGATGATAAAAAATTGATGAATCTCGAGAGGCAGAATGAAATGGTAATCCAGCCCATCGAGATATTCTCTTATGAAAAGAAAGCAATGAATTAAGCGATACATTGGCTTTACTTGGCAGTCTACTGCGCGGGATGTAATTTTCCTGTACGAGAAACCCTAAATGCAAAGATTCTACGTATGGAACAGGCAGTCATTATCTCTAAGAGAGATGCTAAGCAACTTGATTAAAATGTAACATTAGTTGCTGACCCATAAAGTCAAAAGTTGTTTTAGAAGTTAAAAACAATCTTTAGACAAACGTTTTTCATTTTTAAGAAGTTGGATTATAAGAAACTAGTACTATAATGGACAAAAATTTAAGCAAAAGGAGAAAAACTTTAAATTTCCGTTTTTGAAAAGAGTCAATAACAAGTACCAAGTTATATTTAAAGACGGCTCCGAGGAATATACATGATGTTGTTAGTATAAGGATGATTTTACTATAAACTTTTACTAGCATTGTTGCCCAGAGTTTCTATTAATTTTTATTTTGTTTAATTTTCTTTAGACAAGATAACATCATTTGGATTTTGATCTATATAGTTTTTTGTGACGATCTGCGTTTAAATTTTTCCATAAAAGCTCAACTTTGAAACAATTAATTACTTTTAAGTCACGAAAATAAGAACCAACTAAGAAACTAACGAACCAAAATTTGGATGCCACATTAAGAAACTTTAAGTACTTACTGCTGATTGAGGTTCTTATTAACACAACACGTGTACTGTTTTTTCTCCACGTCAATGTACAGATTGCCCGTTTTATGATGCGATACTTCCCAAGGAAGTTATTGATATTGAAGATGCCCTGAAATATAGTCTTCTTATCCATCACTACAAGACTTAAAAAATCTTGAAACATTTGAACGACAGGTTGGCGAAGGCATAAAACCAGTTCCGTCCAATTTCGGAACTGTACTCGTGAAAAAGTTTGAAGCGGTTCGAAGCTGATAAGGTTAGGAAGCGTGACAATTACTATTTTTTCCAAACAAAAGTTAAAGAACGAAATATGAAATATGCCTTGCCACAGTTTAAAGCTGTCAATTATTAGTATTGCAAATAAGACAGTACAGTTCCCTCTTCTGTCCAGATGAATGTTCAACAGAAAAGAATCCCTCTAGAGCGGAATCTTTTTTCCTGTTCTATTGTTAATTGCTCTACGCTTTTGCACTAGTTCTATGTTTCAAATGATACTGAGAGGCTGTTCGGAATGGAACCAGACCGTGGAAACGCAACCAGACGGTGCTTCACAGCATTCATGTCGGTTTCTTATTCAACGCAAACCCGATTATTGTTGTAAATTTGCCTACTGTTTTGTGTGAATAGCATGGAAATTGAAGGTAACTAAAATGAATAGAAATACAGCCAGGATAATTGGTATTTTCAATGCTATTCAAACTGAATAAAAGGTACTAACAATGCGTACTTGTGAAATTCACATATTTTTTGTTGACACCTGTCGTTATAGCAACAAATTCTCACGAAGAAAGGGAAAATTGCTCTCCAAGCCTTTACCATTGAAGATGAGCTGCTCTTGCTGTTTTTTATGTTGTACCTGAGTCGATACAGCCTACAGAAACTCCGTTTTCTGCTAAGAATTTCGGAATGTTTGTATAATGAATAGAACTGTAGCTAAAATATATTTTTTGGAACTAAGATTAATGGCTGGCTAGTGGAAATGAAATCAGCTGTTTCCTAGACAAGAATTGACTTTGGTATGCTCAACATTTGAGTATCAAACAATTAAAAAAAAGATTCTTTTTGTCACTTTGCAAGCAGAATTCAGTTTATCAAGATGGCAGACTAGAACTTATCAACTTGATTTCAAAGACATCCATTCGAAAAAGCTAGAACTTTATCATCTTTTTTTCTAAGCATGTCAATGTTCTTGTCTTCTGTGAATGTCAGTGTTCAATTTCGCTGCCGATAACCAGACCAGATCTTAATCAGAGGTTTATCAAAAGCAACTTGTCGTCAATTGCAAAACACTATTCGTCCTTAGAAAATTTATCGGCGAGATTCACATGTCACGACATTAAATCTCGAAGCAACGATTTGATAGTAGAGACATTGCAAATTTATCATGACCTTAAAAGAATGCAATTTATGAATTTTAATGACAAAAGGTTTTATTCAAGAGCTATATTGATCCATGACATGGCGAGCTACCATTAAGGTCTAATTAAAGGAAGCCAAAAATTCACCAAAGCTTTAATTCTTTACGTCTATAAGCATACTTTATAGTACAATATGTGATTTAGGCATAGGTCTAAGGATGTATGTCATAAAATATAGAGAAGCTAAAATTCTTAGTTAGAAAAAGCAGATTCGTCGATAGACATGCTGTAGCTTTTAAAATGTATGTAGTACTTGGTGACTTTGAAGGTTAAACGTGCGCGCAAAATTTCTTTCCAGAAGAGGTGAATAGTTCTTCTGTAATTCACAATTATCAGGAAATTTAAACTACTTTTGATTGCAACGTGATCAAACCAATGAAAGTAACGTTGATTGCAAAGCTCAGAAGTTCATCTTTGCGTAAAAAGAGTGTGCAGAAGAATCCAAATAGCAAGAGTCCGAAATTTTCCTCGGAATAATATCATTCTCGTCTCTGAAGTCTGCTTCTGACAAACAATGGAAGCAAAATGGTGTTTGGGTGTGGAATTTGAGCTCCTTTCGTTTTCAATTGCCTTCATTATTGGTTTCTACTGTGCGAATATCGTTTTTCTTGGCTCTCTGCATAACATACCTTGCTTTTCTATAAAATTATTTACGCAAATGGTAGTATAAGTTATACGATCCATAATTGTATTACTCACCATCAAATAATTGATCATCCTTAGATTGCAGACTTCATTTCCAGTTTTCTTCGTATGCATATCCATGTATCCCTTGTTTATACATCTGAACAATTCACGCAGCTGGCTTATCTGTAAATAGAATGTGAAACTAGAAAGCAAACTTGCACGCTCAACATTCAGTTGATCAATTATTCATCGAGTAGGTTGACTGACTTTACGTCAATCTCTTCTACATGAAACTGCAACGTTTTGATAAGATACGGACCAAGCATGAAATGGGCTTTTTTAATATGTACTTTAATCATTACCCTCTTTTATACTTTTCAAAAGGCCTGCAAAGGCAGCACAAGATTTGTAAAGCAATGCTGCCACATTATTTGCAGAAGTTTTATTAGTTGAACAAGATCTACTGAATTATAAGCTTTGCAACCAGCCATGAGCTTAGAGCGCATGATCTCTCTCGCGGAATAAACTTATTGTTTGCAAGGATGTTTTGACTCCAACAATCTTCTTTATACCGACGGTTATGTTAAAATGAATTTCCTTCACTCAAAGAAGATTAAAGAAAAATCAAGTATGCTTTTCAATGACATCATTTATTATACCAGCGTGACTTTATAGAAACGGCTGTGCATCAGAAGCCGAAAAAAGAGGAAAAGGTTTTTTGAAATACACAAGGATAGGATACACAAGGGCATCGGGGTTTCACGTTTGATTCAATTGAATTTGCTTTTTCACAGAAATACTTTAGTTGTTGAAGGTTTCTTGTATTCTCTATAATGGTTTGCTCAAATTACAACTAATCGATATAGAAGATGTGAAAAAAACTACATGCACAACACACCATTTCAATCAACAGCCTAGTTTGGGACATTTCGATTAAAGATTTTTTATCTTAAAAAAGTGATAAGAAAACTAACGATTGTCCGGCAAGAAATGTCTATATTGTTAGAGATTCAATCACAGATTTTTTGACGATGTGATTATTAAAAAATTATATGCTATTCAAATACAAAAGTCATTAGGGTGTAGTTTCACATCCCCCAATTAGTTTAACCGTCAAAATGCATTAGAATTCTGTATGTACTCAAATTGTGCACTACGAAAGATGAAAATTTGCAAGTTTTTGTTTAAAATCAAAGCCAGTATCAAACTTTTGTATGAGCAAGACAAGAACCTTGACAAGTATTCAAAATGAGGCTGCTTAATTCTCTGGACAGTATTATCCATAGCAGGAATAAAATCTTGATTCTGTTACTGGATGTCGGACTTTAATCAAAGAACCAGAGATTTTCCATGCTTGAACAGACAACGAATATTGAATCTCTGGGATATAGCAGTGAAATTCCCATTTCTTTCAACTGCTCTGATAAATCAAGCAGTATCAAAAATACAGTTAAAAATGCAATTATGTTCCTTTTCTCGGCAGCTGCTATCTTCTCTCGTCATCTTCTTCAATGAGAATATTCCTTCAAGCTTTCCAACTCTTTTTATTTTGATTGGGCTCACGACAAAGTTCATCAGCTAGATTCGTTGTTTCCAGACTAGATGTCTAGATATTTTCTTCAGATATGTCCTCATGATTCAATCTTGACAAAAATATGCATACATAAGCATTTCAAATGAACTCATTTCGATTTTTCTCTTTACGCAATTTAACGCACTTTCCGAGTCAAAAGTTCTTGAAACACTCTGTAACTGGAAACGTTTTATTTTGAAAGTTAGGAATATCATATTAGAAGTGTGCCAACACAGTGTTTTATGAAGATAATTTTAAGCACATAAAAGCTTGAGTCCCCGGGAACAACTTTCAAGCAACATTGTTTAAAGGAAGTGGAGGGAATGTTTTTAAGTGTTATCAATCGTGCAAATGAAGCTTGTCAATAGAGTGAATTGCATTGTATCAAGAATGTCTGCTGAGAAATCGGTTATAAGGCTTGCACTCATTTTTTCAAGAAAAAAAGTCGATGTTGAGTACTCCAGATTATTAACGCTTTTGAAAATGTCGATACTCGTTGTTTCTCAAGTGTTACAATCATCAACTGGCCAAACAGTGAGAGTGTTACAACGCACACGCCTACTGATTGGCTTACATTGATGGACAGATGGCTTAAGCCACTTTAATCTCTTTCAATTGCCTTTCGAAATTATTTCACCATTATCTAATTCTTCATGCTAGGAAATTTTCCAACAATAACTTGCTTGGGCCGGCTTTCTCAGCTGCCATAAGATAGACTCATTTATATTTTTATTGTTTTCAGATGCTCGTGACATTTTAGTTCCTTTCGGATACTGTACTTAGGTGGAGTGTAGCAACTGATTGCAAATTGGTTGTCATTGTATCAACGTCTCTGTGTTAACTGTTGTGAACAATTGCTTGTACACTGTGCTTGTTTATAAATCTGGGTGTGTCAATTTTGTCGTAAGCATCATGTAGCAATGAGCTGTGATTTTAATCAGTCTTGAGTTTGAATGAGAATAAAAGCATGATGATAACTGCATTGGTACTTTTATAATGTTATCTATTTCTCTACTACTGGTATCTTATAGCGAGTTTTTTTTGTGAAAGATACAGATCTTTACCAGCCGCATTCACCTGTTACGGCGGTTCTGAATATAGCGACTATTATCAATTCATCAATCAATCAGAGCTCTTGATAAAGAGCGTATGATATTTCTTCAGCTATTATGCTTAATGTAATAGAGGTGCTTCTTGTATTATCGTATTGTAAATCTATCTCTACGTACCATCCCTTATTGACGCCGTTACCTGCAGTAAGCCATTATTCATCGCAGCATTTGAACGTTTCTCAGACACGTTGAAACTCAGCATGATTTGCAGGATCAACAGCAAATCAACATGTTTTTTTTAGCTTCGGTTTCTTCAAAATCAAAGCTGAATGACTAACCAAATTCAAAATCAAATTCATCACCATAATGCCTAATTGGCGTAAAAACTACCGTGCTGTGATATATTAGGACAGCCGACAATTAGTATTAAGATCGTATTTATGCGTAATATATCACCATACGTTGCTAAGAAACATTTTGCGATATTGTTTGTAGCAAAATATTAATCTTACAACAACAGCAACTCATAAGCGCATCACTGACAAAAATTTGATTATTTCTGACATAATGAAAATATTTTATTCCTAAGATATTGCGTATCTAATAATAATTACTCTTTGAACAACGTTATAACACGAAGAGACTAAAGAGTATAATATAATAGCTAAAGAATGTATTATAATGGCTAAAAAAAGTGAAACAATGGCTAAAGGATGCAATATAATGACTAAAGAATACATATCATGGCAAAAAAGTACGATATCATGGTTAAATGATATTGTACACTATTAAGTGTACACTTTAAGCCATATAGTCATTGCATGGTTAGGAAATTTATTTTTGTTTTTATTGCTCGAACAGGATCTGTTTTATTTGATAAACCTGCTGCTGCAGATTTGCTTTTTGTAAATCTTAACAATAACACCATAGATCACTGTAATCTATCAAAGACTTTGTTGAAAATACCACCAGTTTTTTCTACTGATCATTTAAGATTAAAGGCTTTAAGATTTTTACCAAACAAGATTAGTGATAAAAATAGCTATGGATATCTTACTTTCATTATAGTGTCTGGTCATTCAAATCTTTAAGTTTATACCTCCTTCTGAATTCAAAGCAGTCTAAATAATATAGCCTACACAGTAATTTTGTAAGATCACACTTTATGCGACTAGGCTAGATTTGCCGAAAAACTAGGAACAACGTAAGAAGATGTCCAGCCTCGGAATGGTTTTTGATAAGGTGCTAGATGTCTGACTGGGTATAATTGGCCATTGAGCTGGTGGGGCAAAATCACTTAAGCGGAAATACTGGAAAAAGACGATCACTCATAAAGGCTCAGTACGGAAAATTGCAAGGCGGACGAAGGAAAATCAATATTTTCAAAAATCGGCATAAATTTGAAAGTAAAAAGGGGCTTACAGCCACTCGACCACGAGGGTTGACCAAACAAATTGCGCACAGAGAAAAACACGTGAACAGTTTCCGCCTTGCAAATCGGTGAAATCCTAGAGCAGAGTGCAGTGGTTTCACGTGAACAGTTTACAATTCCTTTCTTGTGCGCGTGCTCTGATCAATTTGGCCTAAGTTATTTTAGGATTCGCTGTACTTATGTATGTCAAATGCCTTAGACGTTTAGGCCTAAGCAAACATGTTCCTTGGCGCTTCCTAAGGAACCTAAACACTTTCTATCGTAGTGGATCTTGCATCGTGAATACTGTATTAGCAAGCACCCTTGTTATCGCTAAATTATTTTAAGAAAACTACTTCTGTTAGAATGCGGAAATGAGAAAGCCTATTTACATTGTTAAATGAATGGAAATTTATGCATCCATGAAAATTTATGCATCGGTAAAGTGTTTACTGGTAAAGACCCTATCCAGTAGTTGCTATCGATAAATTAATCCCTTTACTGGTGATTTAAGTAGCTATTCACTTTGATTATTGCTAAAGCGGCACCATTCGTATTGCTTTAGCGGCACCATCGCGCTTTGTTCCAATCTAACGTCAGCCTCTATATAGTTCTTAGTTAAATATTAATAAAGGAATTAAAAGCTCACCCATATTACATGCAGTTTGCAGTTAATTTGAATAGCTGCTACTCAGTAAGATATACAATGTTTCTCATGTATGCAAGTAACTCCAGGTGATTATTTTCTCATGCTTTTCTTATGATTTATAAGAGCTATAAACAGCATGCACTCATATAAAAAAGATTGTACATACCGTACAGGACTGTAAAGTTCGTCTAATAGTGCCGCTTGTCTATTAAAAATTCATTTTTCAATCATCAACCACCATTAATTGCGTTCCTGATTGTCCTATTTTGATCCATAACTGGTTATTTAGCCACTTTGATCTATGCTCTGACGTTTTATGCTCTGAAGATTTCGCTTGAGACAATGACTTCAGTATGTTCCGAAAAGGTTGTGACTTTGGGACCCTTAGTAATGCATTGTTGGTGTTTCTACTTGCCAGCTCTATCAAAATTGCCTACCTCTTTCTGTAATTCATTTCATTCTCAAAGTTTTTGATAAAATCATTTTCATATTGTTTCAGATTCCAGCCCTTGTAAATTTTCAATATTTCAGAAAAGACAAAGACTCTTAAAAACAGTGTCGTAAAATCACTTATCTTATAAGCAGGGAAGCGCCGGATAGTGGAGCAAGAGCTTATGATTATGTTTATTTGAGTATAGAAGTTACACATCTTGCACAGTTCTGCATTTCTAGTGGGCGGCTTTTCATGGCAAATTCTGTTAACATGAAATGTAATGCTTCTTATTGTGTTTTAGGAATTTTCTGTTTATATTGTCAGGTTTTTATCTCGGTCAGCTTTTTGCAATACGTCTTAATTTTTTTTCTGAATTGTAGCAGCTTTGTTAAACATTTATTTCCTAGCATTTATGACAGGTTTTGAAGCTTTTTGTTTCCATATGTCAGCTTCCTTGCTTAGTTGAGATACCATCATTGTGATGTAACTTAGGCCCTCGTGTTGTATACATCAAAAACTGACATAAAAAGACGTAAAAAATCGTGAGAATTCTGAAATACAAAAGGTTTTATTTGATCATTGACACTTCTTTTCTCAGCTATTTATACTAAATGTTAAGAGATTCCCTTAGGCAAAATATTTTTTATTAAGTAACATTTGATTCAGGTTAAACAAATAATAAGTAACATTCATTTCCCGAACATTGCCTCGACCCAAAAATGATTTCGCTATCAAATATGTTTTAATTACTCACCATTTGTGTAAATACAAATATTTATGTTTGTTTAAATGTCTGTTTGTTAGGTCAGCATTGGTTGGGTTTATTGAGTGATATTAAAACAAAACAAGAAAAAAAGCAGCTTCAACAAGATGTCGAATTACATTTATTTCGAATATACACTGCCGTGTACTTCAATGAAACGGAAATCACAGTGTAGCAGATATTGCAAAATTGCAAAGGCCACGCCGATCTTAATTTCAAAACATTGATATTGTTAATCGTTAAATTCAGTTAAAATTATGATAGAAAATTTAAAACTTTTAGAAGCTGAGGTTTGATATTAAACACAGATTGGGTCGTATACACAATGATATGATTTTATTTTTTATATTTTGAAACCCAACTGAAATGAACTTCATATTTGATCAACAATTTTTCAAACAGAACGTTGCTTTTGGTTTTCCAAAACGATGCAACGCTATTCCTCTTGACCAACAATCAGAATTGATCCAAGATGCAAGTGTATTGTTCTAAGTCTGATTTTTTTTAGATTTATCATTTAAGATAAATGATTTAAATCCAACTCTTAGACACAAAAAGCAGGTTAAGTGACCTCAAATTGCTCCACATGGCCATTAAACAACGTTTACAATAGATTTTGAATATTTTTGAAAGACTGCTGTTAGCCAAACGAATCAATCCTGACCCACAACAGATTTTCTCCGTTGAAATACTTGAATAATTTACTGACAGCTGCTGGTTATAAAAAACTCGCAATATACACATGACAGTGTAAGCAGGGAAATATCTCGAAACGATAGTTCTCGTACATATTGCTCTCACAAGCTTTTCTGGCTTAAAAGGCATTGAGTCATGATAAAATGGATTGAGTATACCCAAAGTGCCAAAATCCGCTGAGTCACGATTTTCATGACTGCGATGCTATTGGTTGACCTTAAACTGATCACATGAACACCTCGTACTGATTGACAAAACAATTTTCATCAATAGAAAGTTGTCATTAATGGATGCCAATATCACATGAAAAAAGCAGCGATCACGCCGAAACTAAATGATCCCCTATAGAGAAGGCCTATTTACCATGACTCAATGCCTTTAATCTGTTTCATTCACATTTCTTCTCACTTTTGCTTTTTAGTGATGTTGATATGCAATTCTTCTCAAATTTGTCGCTATGCTTTGATCTCTTGCCAACAATTAAAAAAATTCCTTCTACTGAAAGTTACGATAGTATCAGTTGGTCTAAACTGCTTACTTGTCTACATTCCAAATATGAAATTGCAATAATTTGATAATACAAGTGTGAATACTGGCAACAATCTCAAACTAAAGTTTTCTTTATCACAAAGACAAACAAAAGGATGAAAGAAGTTGTGATAACACCAGAATACATTAGCATACATTAGCATTCATTTGCACCATTTCATTTTTTTCAGTTTTACTGTGCTTTGAGAAAGTTTGTTACATCAAAATCAAAATAATTGTAACCCTAAAATTATTTTCACAGGATGATCTATGGACGTTAAAATTTTGCTAAGATCTATGATTCTAGAAACAATCTAACTGTTTCTTCATATTTTTTTTCCAAAGCCCTGATCCAAGACTTATCTGCCAAAAACATATTGAACAATACACGATGGTATTTTCAAGATAATACTCTTGTAGGCCTCAGTACTACCACGCTGCGAGATGTTAGCCTTAATAAAAATATTTTGCTACAAATATATTACTGGACTTCATCTACATCGGCAAGTAAGCACTTGGGCTCATTTTGTTGATTTCCTACTCTGTTAGTCATGTCATTATTCTCCATTTCCTGTTTTGTTTCAAGTCTTTCCTCTGATAATGATCCTGTTTTTCGCATTTTCTTTATCATAACCACTCTTTCTTTTAGATGGAAGTCTAGAAGTGTGTCCAATTTCTTTCTTGAAGAAGTTTCAAACCCATCTAAAATATCTTCCGATGATCTTTCCAAATGTTTCAATTCTTGGTATGGTCCTTCGAAGAAATTGGAAATCAATAAATATATTGAAAGTAACAACAATTTTCTTTAATATCTAGCAATATACAACACATCGAAAAAATCTTGAAAAGTATTTAAGAAAAAAAAATATATTTTTAAGACTCTAAGAACTCTTTACCTCAAACCAGTTTAAACAAGTATGAACTCATAAATACGCTTTATAGAACAGGTCGGATCCAAGTTGCTACACCGAGTTATCAAATGATTACATTAAGCTTGAAACTCGGAGTCGGAACTTAGTAAAGTTACACCAAATGTTTCTACAGCTCTGCCTACACGGCATCGAGAATTTTATGATAGGCCGGTAAACAGTATTTTTCGTGAACTCATAATTAGACCTTTGGTTATCAAACTAAAGAATTGAGCAAGCAAAGCCATCTTTCCATTTTTGTTTTCGAGTCTATTTATATCAAAGCAAAGAATCCAATTAGTTCTTGGCGCTGATTGGTCTAAAGCAAGGAACCAATCAAACGAGTTGTTCTTTCCCTCATATCAATTTCGATCCGCTTCTGGGTAAACATTTTCTGCTTACTATTCATCATTTTCTGATGTCTACGCTCTACAGAACGTAGGACGAAAGTACTTTAGCATGCTATGTTTCAACTTTGAAGTGTTATCTTCAAATTCAGTATCATGTAGCTTTTTACGTCTGAGGTTTGAAGTAAAAATTACTAAAAATAGATAGGTTTACTACCTTCTGCTGAGACGACTCTTTTTTTCCGATTCGATCTGTACACATTGAACAACAACCCACACAGAAAACTGATTGAAAATATGACAAAGAGTATTGTAAAAGTGCGGTGGAGTGTTTTTGACTTGGGATCGAAGGGTGAAACTGTCTCGCCACTCTCCTTTTGCACCTAAAGGGAGCAAAGTGCAAATTCATCTAATTAGCAAAGTTTGACGAGTTATGAAACAAGCAAAAAACACTGCTTTTAATCAAGGCTTACAGAAACATTTATTACCGTTCAAGATCCACCCGGATTGATATTCGGTGTCAAATATCCTATATGCTTTACAACTATACGCCACGATCTTCTTATGCAAGCATAAACAATTTTAACAATTGAATCTCCACTACATATCTAGTGGCAAATTTTAATAATCTGCCTGCATGAAAGTCATGCAACGAAATTTGGAGTTATTTCCAAAACGATGCTGTAAATTGAATTGATGTATTGGAAAAAGCAACTGTCTTAAGTTGTGTTGCGAGATTGCGTAGTATTACTTAAAAACAAAGCAGCACCTGTAATCCAGCTGCTTTTTTCTGCATGCCGTCAAGAAATACTTTAGCGTTAACATTGAGATAATCCCTGAACGCAGAAGCAGCATTCTTCAATTCACCAGCGAAAACAAGCCCATATGCATTAGGATACACAATTTTCTTCTTGGCAACAATGTCAGGGTGGTCGAATAGGTCACTACGCATTGCTGCTGAGTAAACATCAACCAAGGCACCTCTCACTTCTCTCCTCTTTAAGGCAGATGACACTTCTTCTATTGTCTTGTATTTATTTTCTGAGCGTAAGAATAAGGTATTTGTCATAGGAGGATGGAGTTTTTTAATTATGAGGACAAGGAAATAACTATTTGGCTTTTTAATGTTACTTTAGGAAAGCAGAAATAGATATATCCACTATAGAATAAATCTTCTTCAAAAATATACTATAGCAAGTTTTATTTCAGCATTGAATTAAAAAAATTTAAATTTTGTATATATTGACAAATAATTTATCATACTCATTATGAACCTACTGATCAATGAAAAAATAAACAAGTTAATCAGAGTAGTGAACTTATGATTTTAACAAAGCGTTGTTTTTGCATATCTGTTTGATTTCTAGTTAAAATTAGATTTTTCGTCTTTTTATCGATCTGTTCTCACAGTAATAAAACAATTGAAATAAGTAACATATTATTAAAACGTTGATTTTTGATTAAACACTAAAATATTATACATAACGTACTTTTAGCTGGGTTCGATACTAACACTTTGATGAAGACAGCTCAAAAATTTATACGTTAATCCAAACTTTCCATAAATTGCATAAGTGAATGCTTACTTTTATTCATCTTCCCATTTCGATTTAATCCAATTTTGTATGCCTCGGAGTCTTGCACAGCAGCTATCTGAAATTTACAATTACTGCAATTATAGAGATAATCCACACAAGTTTACTTATATTTGACTTGAATTTCAAAAATTTATGATATGCTCACCAACAACATTTGTTTACGATAGTTTAATCCTTTACAGAATTGTATTATGCTATGACATCACAATTTGATTTAACAAGATTTGCTACTTTACCTCAACATCGTAAATCATAGAGCTATCATAAACTTGCGAGACAGTCATGGCTGTGGTCAAGGCACCAGTAAGAATGCCAAGATTAACAATCCCGATAAGAATCCATACAACTGCATATAGTCGGGCCAAGATACCTTTCGGGGTGATGTCACCATATCTGGGACAAATAAACAAATTTCCGTAAACTTCTACAGATTGGAAACATTAACTTCTAAATCATCTTTATAGCATGGCTTACTAAACTAGAAACGAACACAATATAAAACACAAAGACTGAAAAATTTGGGCTAAGATTCAAAATGCTAAGAAATGTAAAAAATTGAATTGGAGCAGATTCGGAACTAATTGCTAAATTATGAAAATCATTCAGGTTAGTAAGCAATTATTTTACGACATGTTTTCTCAAACAAAAAGCATTCATTATCTATGATAGTTCCTAAGCAAGATTGTCGATGCGGAGAAATGATCTTCCCCCTTCGAGTTGCATAATGTAAGTTGCAGCAGAGGCTTCTGCAAAACTAAATCATGCCTTAATTTGCCAATCCATCAGGAAATTTTTAGTGGTCAGCTTTGCTAAGTACCAAGCATCAAATATAGAAATGACGAGTAATAAGATCACTAAGAGGCTCACCCATGTGTTCCCATGGTTACATACGACCAGTATATTCCATTTGCAACTCCACTGATAAAACTAGGTGGAATTTCATCAGAATTGTGTTTGTAATCCTAAGATTTCAAAGAAATAGATTATACAAAAGATACTTGTGGATTGTTGTTAATAATACGTCCTGTCTCATGTACAATTTCTAGTGCTTGACTATTGACACTGAAATTGAACAGGAACTTTTCTTTGATTCTAAAATGTTCGAAAGGCAGCATTTTACCGTCAAATCAAATTACCTACTGGATATTACGATAGTACAATGTCAAGATCACGTCAATTGAAATTTTTTTTCGGCAGCACTTTTGCATTATAACTTTTAGGAAGCTCTGATATCTATCCCTAGCACGAGTTCCACCGGTGTAACCTGACATCTCAGACTAGATATTTGGTGGGTGATCTATACCGAAAAAGACAAAAATGGAGTTCAAAATTGGTGCCATTTCACCTAAGCATGGCAATTTTACCAACGCAGTACAGGTTTTATGAACAAGCTGAAGATTTACCATACAAAATTAATAACAGAGGGGTACACACACTTGCCCCGCCAGCTACGCCCCTAAATATTTCCTTTTCAAACAAATATCTTAAGATTCTATAACGGTTGCCTTTACAAAGCAATGTAACTAAACAAGTAGTTGAGGTGACTTTTTCAATAAAGAAAATTTTAACCGATCATCCACCAGTTCTATTCAATGACATCCCAGTCATCAAAATAAAAGAACATAGACATCTTGGCATCATGCTTAATTCTAAATTGTCTTTTGCCACTCATATTGAGTTAATTATAACAAAATTTAGACGCGGAATAGGAATAATACAATTTCTTGCGGCCACACTTAGATTACGGTGATGTCATTTACCACATTCCATCCAAAAAATGCGATTTCAGTCACGATACCTCACTGAATAATCGTATGGAAAAACTTGAATCAGTTCAACATTCTGTTGCACTAGCAGTGACTGGAGCATGGAAAAGAACATCTCGTGAAAAATTCTACGAAGAAC